GTCACCTGCATTGCTCTAGAAAGACGATCGAATATGGAATAGGGAAGGTGTGACTCCACATTTGCGTGCGCTTGATACTCTCGAAAGGATATAATGCATTTTGTTCCTTTGGCATGAATGCTCTCAGATTGAGTTCATCTGGATACCTGATTTGGTGTCTCGAGACAAAACCATGTCCGGCTTTGACTCCCGCAGCGAATGTATCCCTTGCTCATACAAGTCAATTCTCAAATCTCAAACTCGAACCGCAAACTTACTGTGGGCATGGATGCTGAGCATGAGATGATCCCTGATACGGAGTACTTGATCCCCCTTTCAAGATCGCTTATGCAGGAGCCCATAGACCCCAACACTTGATCTGAGCACAGACATTCATTCCGGGGAAGGCGGGCCACAAATAAAGTGGGAAGATGGAGGAATGTGATTTACCGCCTTGTTGATGTGATACAAAGAGAATTTCTGACAGCGCCTAGACGTCTCTATCTATCATCACTCAATTTTGCGATCTAGAACAACATCCTGAACAAAGGGAAGCTCTAAACGGAAAATGGTAGCTCTGCGCTCAGACCCTAGTATGTCATAGGGATCAACGGTTGATTATACTAATCACACTTGTACTCTATACATCGGTATAATGCCACATGTTTGGCCATCTGAGGTAGTAGCCATCACCGGCATACGCAGCCCCATCACACCGGAAGAGTGACGGTTCTGGCCGATGGTTTGCTGACGCGAAGCGCGTTGATCCAGGAACGGTGACACATTTAAGCTTAGTCCGTCGATTCCAAATGACAGGGTTTCCATCTCGTTATGGATTCAGTTGCTGCCAAATCCCTGATTGAGCCCTTTGTTCCAAGGTTACGTCCAGCCACATTACATACGTGCATCCTGAACAGGACAGAAGCATTGGTTATTTTGTGGATCATCATGGCATATGGTGTTGCATCCCCATGCACGAATCGTAGTATCTTACACGAGGAGGAATGATACAATAGGAGACGAAAACGAACATGTTGTATGACGCTGGGTCTTGGCCAAGTGGGAATCTGGATACCCCTGAGGCTTGGAGATCCGAATAGACTAGGAAAAAAGCCGCTATCTATCATTCTGCTAGTAGGCCTCATTATTGGGTTGGACGAGTCGCTGGCATTTTCAAGGCGTTGCGCGCACCACGGCCAAGATCGCCATGGCGGGTTCAATGGACAACACTAGCATGAAGAGATAAGCGAGAAAACGAGGCGACCCTCTTCCCGTGTCACATGGACTCAGGTGATTGGCGCGAATACATACATCGCCCAGATCCTGGGGATTTACGGAGTACTCCGTACGGAGAGTAGAGAAGATCGCAAGAGACGTCAGCTTGGGAAAAGTCACAAGCCCCTGAGGTGGCGCGCGTTCCTGGAAGACCCCCACATCATGTGACATGCGTGCGCGTGACCTCGCCACTTTATGAGCTGTTCGGTTCAATTGCTCATCATTATTCATTATGACCTTTCTGAAGTCACTTCGATATACCGGGGTTGCTGCCATACTACCCCAACCTGGTACTGCCGTTTCCCCATTGGGAAGAGGAGCTCCATACTACTGTGGGTACTTGTTACCCCAGCTCCGATCGGCGCTATGGAGCCCGGGGAGCCCACACAGTCTGAAGCGCGCTTTCGATGAACTGCGGCTACTTCAGCTGTCATCTGCTCGGCCGTCTCCTTCCTCTTTGGCGCCCGGTCTACCCGTGATCATTTCGTGGCAATGGTACCTCGTATGGAGTACAACACATAAGAGTAAATCTGTCTAGTAAGTCTGACTGGTCTACGTCGCCTGGCGGGTATCATTATTTCCGCCCAGTCCGACCTTGGTACTCCATACCTCCGGGGCTTTTTTAAGAACCTCATACCCATGGCTTAAGGAGACGTGACTCTCCATTTCCCCAGTCCCGAAAGCGATTGGTAGCCGCATCCGCAATTCGCTGTCTATGCAGTATGCCTGCTTTAATTGTGTGCAGTTTCATATTGCCACCTGGTACCACCCGAATTGTAGACAGTGAGACAGGAGCTGGATGAGTAGATGAGTAGATGAGTCAAGAGAAATGATATGTTCTTCGGGTGTATTTTTGGCTTTCTCATCTCGCTGTTGGAATTGCTTATCGAGATGACTTCTCTAAGCTACGTTGTTGTGCAAGCCTCGGCGGTAGGGGGGTCAGCAGCAGTGAAAATGCTAGGCTGCACAAAGTAGCCATAGAATGCTTCGCGACCTGTAGATGATTACATGGTGTCATACATCCGCAGGGATAGGTCTGTTACCAACGAACATTTTCGAACGAATCAGACGACTGGGCTATTTTTTTGCGGTCAAGTACGGAGTAGACATATACCGTGGGTAATTAGATCTTTGCGGAGACGGTTCATTTGGGCTGAAACCTAGGGAAATAAAATATCAAACCACATCTCAACACTCTGTTTCGATGATTTGTAGACTTGATTTGCCTCTCCGGATGCAAACCCCTATTTACACTTTGATAAATTCCGAAAGGATTACAGCTGTCACAGTTCCACACCATGGACAGGGCACAATAGACGATATACATCGGGTCAGATCCCAGTTACTTATTACTTACCCGGGTAGTATCTTATTCCTCTTATATCGAGGGATCTGGTGGAAAATCACATGATAGTCGCAACGTGCACCTTGTGCGACTTGGGCCCGCTAGGGGTCGTGTAGAGGATCGGCCACCCAGGCCCCCGGGTAGAGCATTGGAATGCTCGGGTAGGAAGAGGGACACTTCCTTTCGGCCAGGGCTGGATGGAAGCGAACCCCCGTGATGGTGGGAAAGGGCCATCGCTCGTCTTACGTACTGTGGCCTTCCTCATGTCGGCCGTCATCTGTCGATCCTGTCCAGCAAAAGCAAAGAACGATGACAATGACAACTGGCAGACTCGTGACTATGTAGCCTGGATTTGTGACACTCTCGACTGTTGTGTCCTGTTTGCATAGTCAAAGGAAATCTGGCCAGGATGTGCCCGTTCGGAACATAAGAAATGAGAAAGGGCGGTAAGGCGGTTTTCTCTGCTTCACCTCAGGCCGTGACTGACTTTCTTGGTTTTCCATCCGCATGATGGAGGCCTTGAAGTGATTTACCGCATTATCCCTCAGAACTCTCACCGATGAGGGATGTAGAAGACCAAATTTTTTTTTTTTTACCTGTTTTGAAACAAAGCAATGCATCTAAAAGAGAAGACGATCTACTATGGAAGAAGTGTATTAGTTCCCCGGTATGCAGCCGGCCTTGGAACCATCCCTTCCTCGCGGATAATAGCTGCTTGCGGGGAGAGCTGGTGGGAAAAAAGACCAACAGATTTCAGCCGGCATTATCGAAAGAAACAGCCATGAAAGGAATGAGGCGTTGACACGGAGTGCGATATAATCTCCACCGGAATAATATGTGTTTCGACCTGTATAGCCTCATCCGGCTCCTGATTATTCCAGACAGAAGCTCGACAGAAACGAACGAGTCCCCAGTTGTATCTCTGTGACCCCAACGTGGCTTAAGTTCTCAACCCGATTCCTTACTCTTTGGACGCGGTGTATCCCAGAGTCCGAGTATAGGGCGTCCGTGACGAAAATAGCTTAAACGCGACCTCCGTAAGGCGAGTCAGCAGGACCTTCTGCGCGGAATAGCGCCAATAGCTGGTAGTTCAACAGTTCATCAGTCAGTAGGCCTTTTTTTTTCTGACACAGGAGTCAATAGTAAATGGCCAGTGACAAGAGGCAGCCCAAATGTCAAATGTCCAAACGACCACCGCGATACATTCGGTGGCGTAGAGAGAGCCTTGGTCTGGACTTCCGGCAAGTCACTGCAACTACCGTGTGCTAGAGTCTTTCGATCAGTACACTGTGGCATTTCTCTTTCTAATCTCCTCTATTATCTGTCTTTTGTTTCGCCTCGACAGGTCACAGGTACTTACAGAAATTTCGGGTCCTTTTCCTTTCTCATTGTTGTATAGGTATCTATACTCTGGACTCCATTCCATTATGTATGTACTTCGAAGTTCACAGTCGATTGATTTAGGTAATCGGGAATTGAAAACGGAAATGTCATTACGGTAATTTCGGGGGAAAGTTCGGAAAGAGGGAATGGGAACGCTAAAATACTGGAAAAATACCGTAGAAACCATGGTTGGAAGCAGTGAGGATACATGGACATGGTATCGTTGTAATCCAGGGCCCCGTGATGCGATCGAATTTTCCCCCTTCACCGACCCTTTCATCCTCGGCCTGGAGTTATTTCGGATTTGATTATTGCATTTTTTCAATTAGTTCCCCTTGTATTGTCATGTTTTTACCAATAATTCCTTCCCAAACCCCATTTTCTAAATCGAATTATCCTTTTTTTTTACTGATTTTCTATTTTCTATTTTTCTTTTTCTTTTTCTTTTAATTTTCTTTTTCAATAATTTATTACCGTCCCCCTCTCCGTCCACTCCACTCCACCAAAGTGCCGCCCCCCGTCATTCTTATTATCGTTCCGACTCCCTTTCTCTTCTCTTCCTCCAGAGTTCTCTATTCACCTCACCTATCTTTTACCCTCGGTGTCAATCACGAAGGATCAACTCAATCCGTTCGTTCGACACGCGCTCCGTATCTCCGACTTTCCGCCCCAGCATCTCCGCACTGTGGCGCTCTGACGGAAAATTGACGGGGATTCGATCACTGATTCTTCACTTCGCTTGACAATTCCAACCCTTTCACAACTCATCTCTTTTGCTTCCGGCATTCGATTGCAGTTTCAGCGCTAAAACCGATTGATCCACTCTCTGCACGATACTGCAGGGTCCAGACTCGATTCTCGAAAGGCCTATCTAGGAAACCGGTTGATTCTTACGAACCTTCACAACTGCATCTTAAGCGCCGTACGACCACTCTCGGGGGAGACGGCGACCCCGGAACATCAATCAACAATTCCCAATCACTACAAACGCTACATGAGTAGTTGTGGCGTTGCGACAATGCCTTTGACCACACCAGTCCTCACCGTGGATGCGGACAATATCCACAAGGTGGATACCGCCAATGCTCAAAGTCTTCATGGAATGTGGATGGGTAAGTGAATAGTCTGCTGGTTGAGAATTCCAATTTTTTGCTGACTTGCCTACGAAGTATTTTCGAAATGTGCCGACTACATGGATCAGGGCCGTCGACTTGAAAATCTCAGCTGGCGCTTGTGGACCCGTGAAACCTTCTGTGTCGAGCCCGAAAAAGCCAAGAGCACTTCCGCCCTACCATTGCTACGCTCTGAAGCTGGGGATCTGCCAGAGCTCTCTGCGAGCGTCGAGTCAGCCGCGTCTGACCAAGCCGAACGGATCGAAGCTCATATCAAACGCCCCAAGTTTTCCGACTGCCGACCTGCCGTCGTGCGCGAGGATTCACTAGCCAGCCTTGGCCGTGGCAAGGAAAAGCACATCACTTCGCTGGATTTGGAGCGTATGGTTCTGAACATCAAGGAAAAGAAGCAGTTGGAGCCCATGGCTCCTCCCGTCGAGCCTGCTGCGCCCGTCGTTGACATCACTCCTCGCCCATCCACCCCTACTCCTACTCCTCCTTCAGTTTCCACTGCTCGCCATGTCCCTCATTTCTCCATCCGACCGACCCCATATCCCCATGAGTCGACCGAGTCTTGCTCGACAACTGCCCCGGAGGGCAACGACAGCGACACTGCTCAGCTTAACGCGTCCGACACCAGCGTTTCATCTTCTGGCATCCTTCCCAGCAAATCTGAATTGATCAGATCTCCCAGCATCGTTCGTGGATTCTCACCATCCCACATCTCCTCTTCATTCCGATCGCAACCACGATTGTCTATCGACCCCAGTCCTTCTCGTTCTGCTACGCAATTGAGGCCATCGCCCCTGAAGAAGAAGGGTGGCATGTTTACACTGGGAGGATCTTCTGGGGACGACGATGAAAGCTCATTTGAAGAGCGCATGGTCCCACAAGCGGCCCAGGAGAAAGCGACCGGTGGGGGATTGAAGCCCCACAATAGTGAGCCGAGTTCTACGAAAAAGACTGCTTCCTTCAGCAACCAGGTCTCATCCCACATAATTCCTAACTCGAAGGACATCAGCCGGTCCGACGAGGACGCCATTGAGACCGATGACGAAGTCTCAGAGAGTGCTATCGAGGACGACGAGGACTCTGATTGGGAGGACTCCGTCACTGAAGGTGGCGAGTCGAGCGTTGACGATCGTGGAGAGATGTTCCAGCGGGTTGATTCCCGACCCAACCTTGTTTCGCGCCGCTCAATGCTCACCATGATGATGCACCAGCCGGCTCGTATGCAAGGAAACGCGTTCCGGTCCAGTCCCGCACTTCAGCGATCGCGGCTGACATCGCCCAATGGTCCATCAATTCCCCAGTCTCCTCCATCCAATGAAGAGGAAAGCTTGACTATGCGTGGTCCCGATGTTCCTCGATCGAAGCCAATCGTTATGAACAACAACGGCTCGCATTCTATGGCACACTCTCCGCGAACCACTCGTCGCAACATGCTTGCCACTGAACTGACTGAATCTCTCCGCCGACACCTTCTCTGGGAGCGCCAGCAGAAGAGCGCGACCGCGAACGCCTTCCTCAAACGCCGCCACACCGCCCACGACATGAAAAATCTTCAAGAGTATCCCGGACCAAAAGGTCCCCACCGGGGAGTTGGTCCAAGTCAGTCTAGCGCTGAGGCAGATCCAAACACCTCCAATTTCGATTCTGGCAAGAATGGATCCTGGACCAACTACACCACTGATTACGGTCCATGGGAGTACCATGTGAAGGGATGGTAGTCGATTCTCCTGCAACTCACCTCACCTACGCGCCCTTCGAATTTCCTCAGACTCTGCAACCACCCAGCATAGCCTTTCTCTTTTGACACGTCCGATCACGATCATGCATTGCATATTTGGCGCACATCTGGAATTTGTTTCTTTTCTTTTATCAATGTCATTTGCCTACGGGGGCTAGGGTGTTATCACAGCATTCACCGGGCGTTCGTCCTACATGGAGCTTATGGAACACCACTTCGAGGGCTATTTTACGACCTTAATATCCATGTACAGTTCATATCACTCGTCCTATTTTCGGGCCGTTAACGGTTAATGAAACATGGGTTTTTCTTTTATTCCTTTTATCTCAGTTTCATCTTGCTCTCAAGATATGTTCGGATGGAAGTCCACCAAAAAAAAAAGGGGGGGTGTTATTTTATCATCTATCTCAGCAGATGGCTCTGTTCTTGTATGTCCATTGTGGACTACAGAAAATGCCTAGCATTTGTTTTACTACTTCCGATGCCCCATCGGAGCGATAGTCCTGCGTTTTCCCCTGCGATACCTGATACCACACGTTTCTTTTCTTGACTCATAGCCCGCGATCGGGCCACCATTGTACGCTACCTGATGACGAAACATAAAAAAAAATTCAAATGAACCAAATCAGAGAAAGCCTGGCCTCACATGCACATCGTATTTTCCTTGTAGACTCAGAGTAAACTCAGACATCAGAAGATGAGGCTTGACGCCATGCATCCGGTCTGAATGGGCGGTCTGGACTCATCTGCGTTGTACCTGTTGTTACCCAGAGCTCTATAGCTCCTGCAGAGCACGGAGGCAGAGGTCCGTAGAAGGTTGTCCCGGACAGCCATCCCTGCGAGAACGGCGCCAGCTTAATGCGGACAGTCAGAGTTGACTTTGTGGCGCTGACACGTATCAACAAGCTGAGCAGTCGATGCCATTCTGCATGTACGGAGTACCTCGCATGCAGTCGTGCGTCGTGATCATACCTAACACGGGTAAATGCGATGTACTGACCTACATGCTTCTATATACAGCCTTAACCCAGGTACGGAGTACTCCGTACATATCTATAAAAGCATGCACGAAGTACTCTAGAATCAAGGAATTTTCCTCCATCACCCAAGCAAGAAACGCTCTCCATTACGACACACCGAATCAAATCGCATGCAGCACCACCTGCCTAGAACGGGGGATAGAAGCGTTTATCGAGTTTTCCTGAGACCCTGCAAAAAGGCAATCTCCGCAGATCTCCTTGTGAGAATAGCGAAAGGTCAGGTGGTATGAAAAAAAAAAACGCCCCAAAAACAAGCCGCGCCATCATCCCGGCCGTTCGACCGCATGGCCCGAGGGAATCTGGTCAGAAGTACTAGCATCTCTCCCGGGAAACAGTTCGCGCAGATCGGGAACAGAATCTCGGAGCTAGTTATACGTTCGCGCATGTGTCATATCAGGGATATCTAATATGGAGAACATATACCTGGGTAGTCTTCACATACAACAGATGAGTGGGTAGACCTACATGTACTTGATAGAGACTCTGAGAGTTCACATCGAGACATCCCACCCGACCCGATCGGTGGAATTCGACGAGATCCCTCGGCGCCATCTTGATTCGCACTGATCGCTCCCACATGCAACCAAGGGGTTTATATTAGCCCCTGCTAGAGCTCCCGCGGAACTCGGGAGGTGGTAGTGGACTTGTCATCGACTCGACGAGATAAGCGCACAGTCCACGGTGGCTTGCTCGCTTTGCATGATTTGCAGGGCCAGCTCATCGGGGATCTGGGGATGGGTGGGTGGGATGAGATGAGGATTGGGCTGTTCAAGGCCTGGATTTGGGTACTTTTGAATTTTGGATGGTTTTTTTATTATTTGGGATGAGCACGGAGTCCGATACTCGATCTGGGAAGATTGAGCTTGGAATTGGGTTCCGTTTGGCCTCATTATGACACTACATGAGTAATGGCGGTCTACATGGATTGATGCGTGTTTTCATCATGCCCTCCGCGGGTTGAAGGATGTGCAGGTCTTGAACAGGAAGGGGTTTCATCCTGATGTCATTTTTTGGTAGAATTGCGTTTTCATATGCCATCCCGAGGTCGGGGTTATGCTTATTGTGAAGGTCAGCCTTGACAGGTGAAGTCACCGAGTGTCGGGGCTTACTATGGGGTATCGGTCCACAGTCATGTGGTAGCCGCACATGACCAGCGCACATGATTCCGGGGGTGGAGTCTTGATGCCCGAGATCCTGATGCCCTTCTTCTATCTTTGACTTCCTCTCTCATCTTTGAATCTGGAGTGCTGGGAGTAGACAACCCGACCTGATATTCTGTGCAGGGCTAGGGTCTCCAGTTTCCCCCACTGTGTGCCTCAGCCAATGACGCAATGACGTATCCATCAACGGGCTCTCCAACTTGAATGTGGGGATGAAGACTTTTTCTCCTAAAACACCCGACGCCATATCCATTTTAGGAACGACTCCAGTCTTTCCGGCCATACCCGAGCGCGTGGGGGCTCCAATCACAAATCTTCAATGTTAGAAAACAAACATCCAAGGTCCAAAGGCAACTACTATGCATATAACAGACCTCATGTCAAACGGAAGACTCAACAAAGCTCAGACTAACAACCTGGAACTAATATATACAATCAAGATCCGATCACCTTGATATCGCAAGCTTTTTCCGAAATCTAATAACACTGAAACAGCTAAGGCGCCAAAAAAAGAGCCTCTTCTAGGTCCATCATGAAATTTCTATACATTGCGGACAAATCCAGCCTCTATCTCCAGAATCCACCTGCCCAGTTAGGGCTAACGTAGCCTCCTGTCCGGCCAGAAGAGTCTTTCTCGATCTCTCAACTTGAAGCCGACTACGAAGTGGACACTACAGTGGGTCACCCTCAACCCATGACCGAGCGTGATTTGCAGTTTATTTTTTTTTCCCACGCCTCACGCCTCACCGGTACTGAAATGTTTTTCATAACGCCCGTATCCCAGTGACAGCTCCAGCTCCGCATTTCCTATTCGGGACTCCGTCCGCCTTGTTTGTTATGTTATGGGTACCGAGTGAACCCCCCCACGGACCGCACTACGATCAAGGCGACGACAGGCGTGGTGCTTGGATGCAAGCCTAGTATGATTGTGGAACACACCCTTTTTAATTGCATGGTTGACGCCTAACTGGCTCATGATGGTTGTGTGAGCCCGACGTGCAATATATCGGCAAGCCGATGCTACGAGTATGCAGCCATGTCGTAATGGAAGCCGCGAGATGCGTGGGTAGCGTGCCCGTCAACTAGAAAAGAGGGGATGATCGCTTTGGAAGGATTGTGGCTGCTTGTACTCCGTATGCAGCGGTTGCTCAAGGCACCTTCGAGGTTGATGATCTTCACACGCAGGATGTCGTTGTTGATTGTATTTTGATCGTCCGCTATGAAATGATCGGCCAACCCGTGATCCATATTACCCCTGTCCAGGTCTCTTGAGCTCTAGAGCCGAGCTGATCTTTATTTTGATGCAGGGATGGTTCTTATACATAGTTGCCCGGCGCCATTGACTTGTCTCTCCAATCTAGGGAGCCAGACTCCGTGCTACCTGCCGTTTTTGATTATCAATACATACTACACTCTGATGAACACCTGCTCGAACGACTCCACATACTCTGCGACAATGCACGACATTGCATCCGTGTCCCGAGTCACAAGCCCTGTATATCATCCCGACTACTCCGTACAACAGTATATGAATATCCGGCTGGAAGCCGAATGCGAATGTGGCGTTCGGAATTGGTCCCTGCCCAATTGATACCCGGTCTCCTCTCCACCAAGAACAGAAACGCCTAGTGACACCGAGAATCTGAAAAAAGAACCCCAATTACACGCCCTGTGATTGGCCAATCCATTATTCTAGGCCCTGTAGTGGAGACCACATCACGTGAATAAGCTCCCCCTGGAGCTCTGTAGTCCGAAAACCCCGCAAGTTGCCAATATTGTCAGTTGGCGCTAGTCTGATGAAGATTTAAAGCACGACCCCATTATGAATGAACGGCTAACTACGCGTCAACATGCGTGGGAGATGAATATCTCTCGAATTGCCGATATGATGCTTGAACCCAAGCACTGCAAGCTATCACCCATGGTCACACGCGCCAACACCCACGGAAGACCGTGCGAGGTTCTGGAAGCCTTCTGGAAGGACGATCCGGTTGGCCGGTGAGTTTGAGGTCCGATTCGCGCTTTTCCTCTTTCGGTGTACCTTACCCGTACGGTATTGTATCCTTACGTACATTACGTACTTCCATACCACGGAACGCTCAGTACGGCGGAGCGGAACTCCCAGTACTCCATACCTCTCTTTACAATACGATTGCCCGAGGCTCCTCAATGTCTTTGTACTCCGTATTCGCCAACGCGCACGAGCTTAGCTTTTGCATGAGCGTGTTGCCGGATTCATAGATTCGGTGATGCGAGTCTAGATTCCATAGGCAGCCATGTGGAAATGATTCTCATCTCAAACGCGACTACGGAGTACTCCGTACGGAGTGTATATCTTGTGACTCCAGGCTTGAGCTGGAGAAAACCGGTGCTCTGTTAGCGCAGCCACTGACAGGGTTTTATGCACGGAGTACAACATAGGCCCACAGTGTCAGTGACCGATCGCCTCGCCAAAACCCGCTATGTCTTAGTCTCTGGCCACATTGGGCCATTTGTAGGGTTGCAACTATCGCCAATCATCTATAGTAGATGGAGGCAAACTGCTAGTCTCACGTGTTCTATTTCTCCTTGAATTAGGGGAACATTGTGCACGGTCTTGTTCCCAGCTCCACACACTATTTCGTGTTGGGGTCTTATTGTCTTATTGTCTTTACACATGTCCTGAATGTCGGGGTAAACACGGAGAACACTTTACATGCACGAATGGTCTGTGTCCTATGTCTCAATACTCCGTACTTCAGGGGACAATACATTTGTCAAGACTGCGAAAACCCCCACCAAAATAGCCGTTGCCTCTAGTGGATCGATGTTGCATCCCGGCTAAACGCGTACGCCGGAAGGCAGGGATGCAGTTCTAGAAATTGAACGGCGAACCCCTCATCTTCTCCGAGTGATGCAGACTGTGTTGGGTGGAGAAATCCTGCATTGAGCTTGTTGCCCTCGGGTCGTATTACTCGTGGTGGATGTATCTTTTTTTTCGTTCAAGTAATGGATTCGTTGGCGTTGGTCGCCTCTTTTTTTTCCCTTAGGGATATCCCCCGGCATGGGCGCAGGAGATAAGGCGCGCTCTGGATTTAATATCTGAACCCCTGTTAGTAGATCGGATTCCGGATTCCGGGTTTGCTTGGTGCTTTTGATGGGTTTGTCTTGTCGGCAGATGTTTGACGCTAGAAGTAATACATTTCTGTATTAGTGCTTACGGACCAGTGAAGCAATAGTCAGAAGGGTGTTGATCGCTGATAATCCCTGCTAGCTTTATGTCGGCCCGACTAACACTGCGGAACATCTTTCTGCTTGACGGAGTAAGGCATATTTGGTTGCGATAACTTCTGGTTGTTCTGATCATTGCGAGATGCGAGAGCTGCAAATTTCCCGAAGTTCACCTGGAAAATCGTTGTTTTTGAAGAATTGTGTACATGGTCATTGCCACAGCATCACGGGCAGTGCGCGATGGAGGCGACGTCAGATTTTGGATATAATGATCGTTCAAAGCCTTCAAATTACCATTGCATACCGGAAAAGCTTGAATAGGACGGCTTGCTCTGATTCTTCGGCCTTTGGGGAGGATGAAGAGAGTGAGCATGGCCGAGGGTCTCTGGGTTCGTTCCATGATGGCCTTCCAGCGGGTGATCGAGATATTTGCTTCAAAAAACGCTTGATGGCGCTAGATATCACCGAGGGACTAACTTTTGATTATTCCTCATTCCGAATTGCCCGAGGCTCGATCGATATATTGTACGACGTTGGCAGAATATTGATGTCCGCGGTTTCCGATGCCCAACAGAGCGTTGGATCACAGGAAGTACGGTTGTGACACAAACGATATACAACGGCGAGGAAGAGAGTGATTGACATGCTGCAAACGTATGGCTAATAGATTCACCCTTCTAGCCATGCCAGACAAATGGATCGTAGTAACATGTTCCGCGGGTAGTTCTAACGCCTGTTAATATCGTCTCGAGCTGTTCTGACCAATAATTACCTGGATAGTTATGATGGAATAGACAGAGACCATCTATTGCACCAATCAAGCTGTTCCATTAATCAAAAGATCAAGCTCAAATTGAAACAGAACAGGATGACTCGAAGTGACTGGGGCAAAGTGCTGTGTGAGTCAAATGAGATCATCGGTGCCGCCAAAGTCTTGGCGCTTCGTGAAGGCGTAAACAGCTGCCCTACAAGATATAACCTCCTGTACTCCGTATAGCTTCGTCTCTGAACACAACACCGCGAGTCGCACGTTGACATCACGTGTATCTCCTTGCCTCGGTGTTCTCAGAACTTGTCGATCCTCTTTTTTGCTGCTTTAGCGCCGTCACTTCTGATCGAATTCAGCCGGTCGCACATCTCGGCTTACTTGCTGTGCAGATCTGGTCCTGTCGATCTCTTCAAGGTCACCCGATCTCTGCGTTGGCAGCGCGCGTCACCATCCAGGACCCATCCCCAATTCTGCATCGTCTTTCGCAGAACGGCTCGAGGCTCAGTTTCAGCATGGAAAATAGGTCATTTGACGACAATGCGGGTCCAGGACCCCAGCTTCAAGGTAAGCCCGGATTCTATTATTGGCGTGCGAAAGCCATGGAGTCGGAGGCTTTATGTCCCAATCAATTCCATGAGATCTACTTGTGCGGATTCTCGGGGGCCTTCCAAACTTTCGTATTTTCAGCGCCCCTGTTACATGTCCATGCACTACAGGTTGCATCAGCCACAAAGCCTGTCATCCCCCATGTTATCTCCTGGTACGGAGTACTCCGTACTTGGTTGGCGTATACGGTCCCTATCTGGCTCGCAATACGCCTGGGTCGGACTCCGCGGGCCGTACCCTTTTTGATCACACGCTCATACTTTCGTTGAACAGGTACAGAGCTGCCGTCCTCCTTGACAACTGATGAGTTGTCAGTGGCCCGGTCGCATGGCGTTGCATCCACTGGCGAAACGAGTACTGCTCGCCAGTCATCGACCAGGCGGCAGAAATGTCGCTTTTTCAAAACCAAGAAAGGTGAGTCCGCGTTCTGAGTTCATGTTCGTAAGGGCTTCTGGCCTATTTGGTCTCTGCAATGATCGACGCGTCATTGAATACGGGACCAGTGTATCTCGGGTACCTCGAACAGGCTATTTGGGAAATATCTGTATACAGTACCTGCCGGGTTCACCAAAAGGGTTAATAATCCCGACGCTATGAGCAAAATTGCATGATATACGGAGTACCCGTGCCCTAATTCTTCGCGCCTGTATTACGTGTTTTTGGTTATCGCATAGATGACTGTGTGTCATTTTGGGCATATGCTAATATCATTAAAGGATGTCGACTTGGAGCAGCTTGTCCGTATGTGCATGATGCTTCGGCCATTGAGCCTAGGCAATCTTCATCGGAACAGCAGACACCCAAACCGGCTTCAGGCGATGAAACTTCAGATTCGGCACAAAAGATTGTCGCCGAGACTCATAAATTGAACATTAGTGGGAATCAATCGAAGCAGAGGTCCACTACTTCAGCCCCTGTTCAACCCCAACGACCAGTCTCTAAATTGGAGCAGTCAGATCCAAGAGAGTTCCAAATCAATCAATTGAGGCGGCGCTACCGCCCACAGGAAGTAAATGATAGTCGAGGTTCTACTTTGACGTTTGGGCTGGTACCTTCTGATCCAGACTTCCCATTTGAGCTTGAGAGGCTTCAATGTGTCCTCCATGTTCCTACTTCGTATCCCAAGGTGCGGCCCACACTTGCAATCACAAATTCTGAAATGGAAGCTGCATACCAAGCAAACGTGGTCCGAGGCTTTGATGAAATTGTCGATTTCACTTACCGCACCAATGGACGGGGAACCCTACTGGGATGGCTCAATAGTTTGGACAAAAGACTTGAACCATTGCTCACATCTCTGGATCGTGGACCAACGCTGAAGTTCTTTGCAAATGTCGGTGATGGCTCCGCAGCCAAAGAATCCACCAAGATTCCGGAAAAGGCCATTAGCCAGTTGAGCTCGGCTCAAGCTCCTATTCCAAGACCTATTGCATCTGCTAAGCCAGTCCAACCACGGGTTGTCGTACCCAGACACACAGCTGAAGCAAAGGCTACAGCTGAGAAGAGACGAGCTGCCGAAACAAAGCAGCTGGAAGCGCGTCTTGGCAGACTTCCAATGTTCCAAAAGTTACAAGATGGCAAGGCTTATGCCATTCCCATCCAGCCAATCAAAAAGGACCGTCTGCCTCGATCGCTCCAAGCACTCAAAACTGTGAAGTTAATTGTGCCACAGCTCTACCCTCTCGAGCACAGCTCAATTAAGCTGCAGGGAGTTGAAGGCCCAGAAGTGAAAGCCACGGAACTGGGATTCACTCAGTGGGTTGAACAAACTTCCCAGCTGAGCTTGGTGTCTCAGGTCAACTACCTGGCGAGCAACATTCATAAATTCGCTGAAACACCTTTACCAGAAGAGCAGGAGACTGCCGGGGTCGTGCCTCCTAGTGTTGAAGTGGACGAGTATGAGGTAGAAGAGGAGCCCGCGAATCCACCGGTTGCACCCTCAACCCAGGATGCTGATGACCGCCCACATCTTGTTGTCATCCCTCGGCCACCTGAATGGTCAGTTCCCGATTCCCACAGTGGTGCCGAGGGAACATCAGACGAGTCGAGCTACGATGAAGATGAGTATTCAGATTCAGAGGGTGACGAAGAAGGCGGCGCGCCCGTTCCGGCATCAGTGGATAACAACGCGCCTGGACGCGGCGTCGCGCTTTCATTCCCATTCCTGGAGCTCTACGGTATTGAGCTGCTTGAGCTCACATGTCTCAATATCACCGTCAAATGCGAAAGGTGTAAGGTGTCGGCCGACATTAAAAATGTGCCACAGGTCACCGATGAGAAGGGCATGATGCCAAAGATGGAGTCGTGCAAAAAGTGTGCTAACAATATGAGCGTTGGTGAGTTCACGGTCGATTAAATTCTCCTTGTGAGGTGTTTGCTGACATTTAATTCCTCAGCCTTCCGGAAACAGTTGATGCACTCTCATGCTAACCGTGCTGGCTACCTCGATCTGGACGGCTGTACAATCGGAGACATGCTTCTTAGGTTGGTTCTCTTTTTCGTTTCCTGGATTGGCCTTTTGTTGACCGAAACCTTCATAGTGACTTCATTCCAACATGTTCTGAGTGCTCGACTGCCCATCCGGCACCGGGTGTACCTGCAGTTCGAGGCGAGAGCGCCATGTCTATTTGTCGCCAATGTCATCGCAAGATGGGTGAGTTCTGATACAATCCTTTTATTGATTGACTGCTAAGATGTCCAAATTACAGTCTTCAAGATTCCTGAAGTCAAATTCCTTTTGGTGGGAAGTGCAGCATGTGAGTACCTTCATATTGAACTTTCAGGGGACTATTCACTCATTACTGTATTATCTAGTCACTGCTCGTGGAGCTCTGCCCCTCAAAAGAAAGGTTTGCTCAATCTACCAAACAATATCGTGGCAAAATCTAACCAATTTATTAGTCTCGGGAAGTCCTCGGAATTGTCGCTGGACAAGAGCTTCCACGCCGTGGTCGTTGCCAGCACTATTCCAAGAGCCAGCGCTGGTTCAGGTACGTGACACCTTCCAGATGCTGTCACCTCAACAAACAGGTTATACTGACCCCCTACAGATTCAGCTGCTGCTCAAAGGTGTTTCCTTGCGATAAGTATGACTCTCTCACACGGTCCTCTCTTCTCTTCGCTACATGAATGCTGATCGGTTTATCTAGATGCCACGATGCAGAGACTGATCACCCGAATGAACATGCGAACCGCATGATCTGTGGCTACTGTTCACGGGAGCAAATCTACAGACCTGAGAACTGCGGTATCTGCAAAGCGGTCCTCATCGGGAAGGCAGGTAGTGGGTTCTGGGAGGGCGGAAAGGGAACGAGAAATCGAGCTTTGATGAGCCGGAAAGGTATGTGCTATTACAGACTCCTTGGGTTGTAAATGTGGTCGGCTAATGAGACGCTAGATCCGAGGAAGTACAAGCGACGTGGAGGAAATGCTCCCACTTCGAGCTCCTCGAAGCGGAAGTAGATGACATGGAAACTTGAGTGGAGTTAACGAATACATATCTCAGAGCAGCACCTAAAGCATTATGAAATATATGTGAGGTTATTTTCCATACTATGTATAGCAGAACATGATTAGCCCTACGCTGTCAGCCAACTGAGCATGGATCAATGATCCCCCTTATGTTGTTGAGATCTATATTCACTCACCAAGGAATCACCTACTTAGGTATAAGTATGCTTTTTCGGTCTTTTGTTTGAAGAGAAGAATTCTTCGCTTTGCAATGATCGATGAATTCAACACCGATCTGGTTGTACTTGCTTCCTTTTATCTTGAGCATCGGACCTTCCAACTGAAGACACCTGCCATGTACAAAACAACCCAGAGACACGATATCAATCAAAACCTCATCTTTCACCAACTCCAAGAAACCACACTGATCCAAAATGCCTTCCATCATACCGCCTATTATCTTTGGAGCTACTTGCTTTTTGAGCCTTGCTAGTGAGTCTTGCTTCGGCCTTTCTCTGCCTTCATACTGATCCAGATTACAGTTATATTCTACATCGGCCCACTCAAGATGGCATCTCGCCTGATATCTAACCAGACCGCTCAGCCTGTCCGCGAATTATCCTATCCCCCGGAGAACGCAAACTGGATTGACCACCTTTTCTTCGTCTTGAGCAACCACGGCGTCGATGCAATGGTCGCTATTGGTGATGAGATCCTCTATGTCATTTTCGTTCATCATCTGATTAATCTTGCATTCTGGTTGGTTCGGCGTGAGATTCAAAGGTATAGTAGGCTTGCATGAGAGATGCCTGTGGCCTCATGACCGATGTTGAATGTTGATGCAGACGATCGTTGCGACATAGAGCCCACTGGCAGGCTTGAAGCTATCGAGTCGATTCGTTTCGACGATACGAGCAAAACGAGGCGGAATGGATGGCATGTGGGATTTGGGATACTGCATATGAGGAATAGACAGCGCGATGCAGGGTTTGGATTTGGGAAGGATATCGGGTATCTTTACTTGTGCTTCGGAGTTGGATAACTCGATCACCGAGGACAGATATTTGACGGCGGAGTATCAACAATGCGGTGCAGCTGTCGAGAACATTCGGAGGATCAGAGGGCAAGCAGGGCACGGAAAGAGTCTACTTCTAAAACAGGAAACCGATGGTAGAGTTGGGCAAAGGCTAGTGTCACATACCCTCCATACAACAGGGCAAACTGCCCCTTTTTAGGCGAGGTTCTATTGGGAGCTAAACCTGCAAAAATTGACCATTCCTGTGATTCCAAGTATCGACTCGAGTTACAATTTCCAATCATGGGACAGTTATAAAATTGTCATTGAAAGTCATCAAGTTCGCTAAATCCACGATGCAAATGCCCACATTGTAAGGGGCCCACCAAAAGAAGAAGCCCAAATCCCTCCTAGCCAGATGCCTTTTGACTTTAAATCAAGTTACCACGAAGCTCCTGCTCTCGCTCAATAGCCTCAAATAGTGACTTGAAGTTTCCAGCTCCGAAGCCCTCGAAGTTGTGGCGCTGGATAATCTCAATGAACACAGTTGGTCGATCCATCATGTGCTGTATGTTGAGTTAGTATATATTCACAAAATTCGCCATCCGTCGTTTTCACATACCTTGGTGAAGAGTTGCAGCAGATAGCCACCCTCATCGAAATCAATCAAAATATCCAAACTGCGAATGGTCTCGAAGCTCTCCTTCAGCACGAGGCCGGACTGCTTCAAGCGAGCTTGCATATCAATGTAATATGTTTCGGGGACCTTGATAAACTCAACACCACGGGCCTTGAGGTTGGTGATATCACGGATGATATCGTCGGTGTGGAGTGCAATGTGTTGCACACCGGCACCGTTATAGAAGTCCACGTATTCTTCGATCTGGGATTGCTTCTTGCCCTTTGCTGGTTCGTTGATGGGCATTTTGACAACCTCGTTGGGAGAAGCCATGACGATACTCTTCAAAGCAGAGAATTCACTGTAATATTCATGTTAGTGATGGTGTTCGAGGAAATGGAAAACACATGTTGATGACACTTACGTGCAGATTTGGCTGTCGTCGACAGACCAGAAACGGTGGAAGCCAAGTGCTTGCTCATAGCTACATAATCATGTCAGTTCAGAGAGTCAAATATGACAGTCCAGATCGTAACTCACTATTTGCAGATTTTATCCATCTCATCCCAGTCTTGGTTGCCGACACAGTGATCGATATTCTTGAGATGAACACCAGGCAAGAACTGCAAAATGGGATCTTCACTGCCAACCTCCGCACGATATCCAGGCATAAAAATTCCCTGATATTGGCTTCGCTCAATGAGCGTGTGGGTGGTTTCTCCGTAAGTCTGGATAGTAGCAGTCTTGACATGGCCGTCCTTATCCTCACGGATCTTAGGCTTAGAGACAGACTTGCCACCGTTCTTCACAGCGGCAAAGTAAACAGCATCGACATTGTCAACTTCGAAAGCCACATCCTTCACTGCGTCACCGTGCTTCTCGAGATGCTCGTGAATCTCCTTCAGCTCGGCCTGCTCTTCGGGATCGAAACGATCGATCTGACTGAGAGATCGCAGTGGGGAGGTCAGAATGAATGTGATATCCCCGTTGCGGATGACATGAGAGCAGATATTACGGCTGCCAGTCTCAAGGCCCTTGTAGGCAATACGCTTGAAGCCCATGCGAGTGATGTAGTAGCTTGCAGCTTGCTTGGCATTGCCAACGTACCAGTGAACATGGTCGTAGCCCCGGTAGCTGGCTACTGAAGATGTACCACTCGCCGCTGAGGGTGGAGGAGTATTGGAAATAGCTGAAGGGGCCATTCTGCTGGATTTCGTATGTATGTGTTGATGGGTTTGGTGTTTCAAAGATCAAAGATGGATGTAGAAGGTGAGAAACGGGGTCAGCTTAGTAGTTTTGTACCACCCCAATTCACGTTACCCTGGCCTTTTAAATTGTATGTAAAGTGCCTCCGGTAACCGTGACTTCATTTTCGCGGATGTAATCGCTCGTCTATTTTGGTTATTGACACCTTGACGCCACGGCGTAGCTCCCAAGCGGCCGGCTACGCCAGGAGATCGAAATATCCGGAGATATCCGACCCGCTGTGATCGTCAAAATACCCGCGCGAGATCTGCTTCTGAGCTTCTCGAATTCAGATCTCACGCTTATTTTGGTCTCTCTCATTGAGATAATATTTATCCCGTTCTGAGTTGGCTCACACTCCCAAACTCTCACCTCAACAACGACTAAATCTCAATATGACATCGATCACAAGTGCCCGCCCATCATTAACATCTAATGATTCGGCTGTGCTACAAGCTCTATTCGATGCTGAATCCTCTCCCTCATCTGGAATTACCATCGACCCCTCACTCGCCTCATGGCCATCATCTCTGAACATATCCGAGGCAGATCTGGTATCCCTCAAACAACGCGAAACAGACATCATCCGCGAATTGCAACCAGATAAATCACCAAATGAAGAGATACTCAAGTCAGCACTGAACAACTTCGACATCCTCCTCAGTGAACATCCAACATACCCCTCCGCATATACAAACCGAGCACAGACACTCCGCCTGCTAGTCGATCTGATCTACAACAAAGAAGCGGATAATGCTCCAAGTACCGACACCGAACTAGCCGATGCTGCCCTCTTCGCCCCCCAAACCTCCCAGCTTTGCTCCCGCATTTTCTCAGACCTCGGCCAAGCTATCACGCTGGCTACACCCGCCTCTCCTGCTGATCCAGTATCAACAAGCCAAGCACGGCTATTAGCCGATGCGCACACGCATCGGGGGTATTTGCTTCTCAAAGCGGCTCGCGTAAAGAAGGGGCTTGGCAATGATGACGAGGCGGGCCCAGAGCGTTTGCGGAGTCTTTCCGCTGATCAGCTCGAGGAGATGGCTAGTCGGGATTTCTTTTTTGGGGGTCGCTACGGAAATAAGGTCGCGCAGCAGCTTGCTGTACAGACGAATCCTTACGCGAAGATGTGTGGGGCTATTGTGAAGGAGGCTATGAAGAAGGAGCTTGAGGGGTCGAGATCATAAATTATTAGAGAATTGAATTTATGAGCTTTGCATTTTGAATTCTTTAAGAACGCATAAAGCGGATTGTGAAAACTTGTTGAATTCCGGTATCTTCCTAGGACGTAGTAACTAATTGATAATGGGTAGAGCATATATTTCTTTTCATGCTTGCAGTGCTTCAGCCCTGCCTTTTAAGCCTTCTTGTTGGGGTTGACAAAGTGTCGCTGCAGAGGCGTCCAGCTGTGCTCATTATATTCGGGCTGGACCTTTTGGCACTGCTTAAGACCCCATTCGGAGACACCAACCATGAGAGTACTAAGATATTGTTAGCAGATGTAAGAAGACAGATTTGGTGACAAGCATGGATATTAAACTCACCTCTCAAACATGAAAGCCATACTTCCATCTCCGACCTTCTGGGGCTTCAACTCGGCATTGCTAGCGCCCTCAAATGCACCCGAGTCAGGGCCATGGGCACTCATGACATTGTGCAAACTAGCACCCGCGGGCTTGAAACCACCGCCAACCTTTGCGTCGTAGTCACCGCTGATCAAACCCATAAATTCAGACATGGTGTTGCGGTGGTACCAAGGTGGACGGAAAGTGTTCTCTGCCACAAGCCAGCGAGGAGGGAAGATAACGAAATCAGCGATGGCGGTACCAGCGTGGTCCGATGGGCCAGTCAGAACAGTAAAGATAGAGGGGTCAGGGTGATCGAATGAGATCGAACCAATAGTGTTGAATCGGCCTAGATCGTACTTAAAGGGATAGTAGTTGCCGTGCCAGGCGACGACGTCGAAGGGAGTGTGGTTCTGTCGGGCGGAGAAGAGCGTGTTATTGAACTTGGTGTACAGCTTATATTCGCTTTCTTCTTCATCGTCGAAGGCGGCGACTGGGGACTGGAAATCGCGGGGATTGGCCAGGCAGTTGGATCCAATGGGGCCCAGCTGGGGGAGCTCGTAATGGCCCTGGTATAGTTCACAAATGTAGCCTCGGACAGGTCCGTCGGGGAGGGTCACTCGGTATCTGATGGGAGGAATTAGTAATTGAATATTGAATTTTTGTTGATGAAACAAACTCACCTCACACCGCGGGGGATGACACAGATCTCATTTGGGCGCAGAATAATGCGACCGAGCTCTGTCTGGATGTCCAGCACACCGTGCTGGGGCACAATCAGGAAGTCGCCATCCGAAGAGTAGAAGGCCTCCTTGCCCATATCCTTGCCGGCGGCATAGAGCAAAATTCCGAGACCTTGCTTCAGGGTGGGGTCTCCAGAGCCTGCGATCAAGTGCAATCCATGGACCCAGTCGACTTGCTCATCGAGGTCGAATGGGTTCCAGCGGAGCTGGTTGGGAATGTGGTGAAGCTTGCTGGCCTCGGTCGTCATCTTGGTGTGGTAGGAGCCGACATCTTCCTCAACGAAGTTCTCGTGAGCTGCTGCGGGCAGGATCCGGTATACCCAGGTCTGCTTGTTTTCATGGCGAGGGGCAGTGAATGCGGTACCCGAGAGCTTCTCGGTATAGAGCCCATGGGGAGCCTTCTGTGGGGAATTCTGGCCGATGGGCAGAGCTCCCTCGACGGCTTCGGTTCTGGTTTACTTATCAATTGGGGTTCCATTTCAATCCTATGGAATACATACTCCTGGTGCGAGTCGAAGCCGGTCTGGTACTTGTAGGGATCAGGGTGGGCGAAGTTAGTGACAGGCATGATGACGGATGTGTTGTGATGCTGTTGGAAGCCCCGCTATGTTTGCAACGAATTCAAATCAGGCCCTTAGCTGCGAGCTATGTATGTTGCAAAGAACCGAATCGAGTGTCGTCCCATTTCATAGGATTCCGCGGGGATGTGAATTCCCGCGATTATCCTTTGTTTCCGCGTCGGCTGGATGCGGGGGAGTGCGGCGCTGTTCCGCTCTCCATCGCGGGGCTGAACATTTTCCAGGTACATGTAGTTCAGGAGTTCACGGGGGTTGATTTTGTTTCTTCTTCAAATCTCCTCAATTCATTCATCATGGCTTCGTGGTTCCAGATTCCCAAGACCTCGCCCTTTTCGTTGGCCAACATCCCGTTCGGCATCATCTCAACGGAATCCGCATCAAAAGTGCCTGCCATTGCCATCGGTGATCATGCTTTGAACCTGAGCACATTTGCTTCTTGTGGAGGTTTCTCACACCTGCCCGCTATTCAGCAGCACTTGGCGGTTTTCAAGCAGCCAACTTTGAATGACTTCGCTGCACTTGGTCGCCCTGTGCACCGTGAAGTGCGCGAATACATCCAGAACATCTTCCGCGCCGACACAAAATTCCCCCAAATTCTCAAGGATAATGCTGCCCTCCGGGAGGCAGCCCTACTGCCCCTCTCCCAAGTCACAAACCATGTCCCCATGCAGATTGGTGATTACACCGATTTCTACGCCGGCATGAACCATGCATACAACATTGGAGTCCTCTTCCGTGGCCCCGACAACGCTCTTCAGCCTAACTATAAGCACCTGCCCGTGGCCTATCACGGTCGTGCATCCTCAGTCGTAGCTTCAGGCACCCCCTCCACCGCCCCCAGGGACAGATCCTGGCAAATCCTACCGTCGACCCCAAGGTGCCTACTTTCTCCCCCTGCAAGAAGCTCGACATCGAGCTGGAGCTTGCTTGCTTCATCAGCAAGCCCAATGACCTCGGCAAGCCCGTCTCCGTTGACGAGGCCGAGGACCACATTTTCGGTCTCGTTCTCATGAACGATTGGTCCGCCCGTGATATCCAGGCCTGGGAGTACATCCCTCTCGGCCCCTTCAATGCAAAGAACTTCGGTACCACCATCACCCCCTGGGTGGTCCTGATTGATGCTCTGGAGCCTTTCCGTGCCCCCGGTCTCGAGCCCGCCAACCGCGAGTCTCTGCTCCCCTACCTGCGCGAGAAGCGCGCCGACGGTGCCTACGAGATCCCTCTCGATGTCGAGGTCACCAACGCTGGTGGCCAGCCCACTATTATCTCCAAAAGCAACGCTCGCAACCTCCTCTACTCCTTCCCTCAGATGGTTGCCCACCACACTATCACAGGCTGCAACTTGCGCACTGGTGATTTGCTGGGATCGGGTACGATCTCTGGCACCGACCCCAAGTCAGTGGGTAGTTTCTTGGAGCAGACTAACGGCAAGAACCCCTTGAAGTTGGCTGATGGCTCCGAGCGTATGTTCCTTGAGGATGGTGATACTGTTATTCTGCGCGGTATGGCTGGCACAGAGGGCAACTATGTCGGCTTCGGCGACTGCGTTGGCACCATCCTGCCCCCTGTCTCGCTGCAGTAGATTAATGAAATTTAATAAAATAAATGCGCGATGTCTGCGACGCTACAATTTTCCGTTTTGTATCTTCTGTATTCACTAGAGAGCTTGCTATAGCCTGCATAAACTAGTCCCATACAGCAACACTGAACGAATCTTGGTATTCAAGATGTAGACTTATGGAATTCGTGTTGGTTATATAGGGGAGTCGCTACCAAGCGGCGTCATACCACTGCCCTTCCATGGTTCTTCTACTGAGTCTTAACGGGATGGGGAATCTTTCATGAACATTCGTCGTGGGTATTGAATCTACTCCTTATAGTTTTTCAATTACTCCTTCACGCGAAACTCCTCAGGAGTATCATCCTGGGCCCTCCAGTGACCCTTCTTAACAGCCTCCTCCAGCTCCAGATTCTTCACAATCGCATTCGTAACTGGGAATTGCTCCAAGTCAACATCGAATCGTTGAGCGCCCCACGCAGCAGGAATCAAGCAGATATCCGCAATTGTAATAGAATCCCCGACGCTAAACTTCCCCGCAGTCCCCTTCACAAGAGCCTCATAAGCCCTGAATCCATCCTCCATCAAATCCTTCGACCAGACAGCACGGTCCACACCCAGAGGTCCAACTCGCTTCAAGATCCTGAGGTTCGTGACAGGCTGGATATCGCATGAGATAATGTCTGACAGCGTGCGCACGATGGCGCGGGTCTCTGGGTCCGAAGCCGGGGGTAGCAGAGCAGGTCCCTTCTCTGGGAATGCTTCTGCGAGGTATTCGAGGGCAGCCAGAGACTGTGTGATGGTGACAGACTTTGATTCGCGCTGGATTACAAGAGCTGGGACTGTGCCTGATGGATTGATGGCCAAGTGAGCTGGTGTGGATTGCTCGCCCTTCAGGAGGTTCACGTGCACTGATTTGAAGGGGATTTCCTTCAGATGCAGGGCTATCCGCAGTCGGGCGGAGCAGGAGGAGCGGAAATAGGTGTAGAGAGTTACTGCGTCGGCCATTGTGGTTTTCGGTATATTGTATCCGATCTATGCGATATTCAACGGGTAAAGAACGAGGGTGCAACAGACATACTAGACTCCCCTGAGAGATGTTGCGCTTATGAACTGCTTATAAACCACACTGTGTCTGGATTTACTATGATAAATTAGAATGATAAATTAGTATATGCCGGATCTTGTGTACCCCTCAGCCTTGGGAGTGTAGGATGGGCCTTGGCGGGTTTACAGTGTGCTGGTGCGGAATGCGTTCCGACATCTCGAAGCCGAGTGCAAGCGCTGTGCCTTTCCGCCTCGGGGGTTTATATGTTTATATTAACAATCTCACTGCCGTTTCTTCCGAGGTGCTTGCTCTTATTGGCTGGATAGTTATGGCCAGTAATTTGTTGTTGTACTGTGATGCCCAGGTCGTTACACGCACTCCATCCAGCTTATATACATTGCCATGTTTACCGGGCAAATATGTGATACCTACCTGATGTCTGCTACGTACATGTACATACTTTTGACTTCCCATAGTGTATAGCTGTACCTTGTGTTAAGCCCCTGCAGGGTTGCAGGTACCGTTAATTCTCTGCGTGTGATATGGCATATTGGCCCTTTTCCAATTGGTCATTGGTTGCTATTTATGCAGGGGTCTGTAAACATCCCCAGTAGGTCGGTGGACTCAGGTAACTTCTATGTCTAGATAAAAGAGAACCAGTAAGGTAGACTAAGGTGGACAAATAAAAAACAATCCCGATATTCATTTTAAATCTATTCCAATTCTCCATAACTATACGGAAGTACATTGGTGAAGGTGCGGTGCTGACGGGGGACACAACTTGGGGCGGGTAGCGCCGGGTAGTTTTCCATCGTCGTCCTCCTTCTCCAGGGTGTTATCCACCGCTTCACGAAATACCCACAGCATCCACTTCAGCGCTACCTAGTTCGCCCAGGAACGGTTATGGATGGTGTCAGGCCATCTCGGCCGGACAAGCCGTATCAACGCACATACAAGGCATGCATTCCTTGTCGGCAACGGAAGGCAAAATGCGACCTAGGGACCGGTCCAGACGGTCTGCCGATCGGCCCACCATGTGCGCGCTGTCGCAGAGAACTAAGGGAATGTGTTTTCCCCGAGAAACGGGCCTGGGAAAGATCCCGCAAGCGAGGTGCGCTAAAATTACAATGCTTCGAGATCGTCTGTCTAAATGGTCAAGTTTTAGCGCGATCACCTGAGAGCTATGAGCCGGGTGTATCACCTCGGCATATCAGGCTGTCAATGGGGACTTCACCTGACGGCGCGGCTGTCGCACAAGGACAGAACCAGCAGCCGCATCATGCAGGCGAAATAAGCCGCTCTGTACCCGAGCCCAATTACCAGCAGCCCAACTTTCAGTCATCATGGCCATATCAACAGGATCGACGGGGGTCTCATCGGGACTCTTACGATCATTCGTCTGTAGGACCTCCACAATCTGATCAATCTCCCTCTCATGGGTCTGAAAACAATACGCACCGCTCAGGCCCCACACTCGCGACTTCTATGATGCGCACTGTAGTTGCAAGTGGCAATGATGCACTCAATATTCTCTTCGAGGCAGCAACTGCCCAGGAAGGTAACCATGCTGATACTAGTTCTGAACCGATACCAGGGCCTCCATCGGCAGGCCCGAGTCCTTATGATCAGACACCCAGAAATTACGATGCCGCGTTTGAGCCGGTGGCACGGGTGATACATCCTGTACAGCTATCCGCCGTGACTCAAGATACTTTGAATGTCTGGGAGGCTTGTCGGTTTGTGAAGATGGGTTGGTTTACTGCCAGAGAGGCCGTCACTTTTATTGATCTGTGTGTTGCCTGATATGTCCAATACCCCTGGCAAATAAGCACTGACTGGAACTAGATTCTTTAAGAATATGTCCTGTTTATCTCCAATTCTGACAGATTTCTATGCCAACCACCGATATCATTACTGGTTGATTACTCGAGAACCAGTCCTGTGCTGCACCATCCTCATGATCTCGTCTCGATATCACGTTCTTCCTGGAGCGGGAGGAGAATCAAGAAATTTCTTTATCCACCATCGACTCTGGCAACATTGCCAGCAATTAACGATGAGACTGATATTTGGTCAAGAAAAATCTACTAAATCTAAAGTGCGGAGCCTTGGTACGGTGGAAGCACTTCTGTTAATGTCAGAATGGCATCCTCGCTCCCTGCATTTCCCGCCTGAGACGGATGGATGGGATGATGATTTGATCCCAACAGCCCCCAGCACGCATGAATATGGTGAGTCCAGCTCCGCGCACGGCAATCGCTGGGTGGACGATATGATTGAGCCAGCACGCCGATCTGACCAGATGTCTTGGATGCTGCTTGGGTGTGCACTCTCCCTTGCACACGAGCTTGGCATCTTTGAGACAGAAGAAAGTAGCTCGCCAGTCGAAGAAACAGAATGGAGAGATCAAATGTCACTTCGTTGGCAACGCGTCCAACGTTTGCTATATGTGTATATCAATCAATTAGCCTGGCGGATCGGATGCATGTCACCAATCCCCCAGTCATTAAACCACGCTATTCTTGGCGGACGAAAGCCACCAGGACTAAGCCAACCGGGTGGCACGTGGTTGACTTTCATGGATTCATGGATCGAGCTGACCAAGCTAGCCAAATCTGTCACTGATATGTTCTTCCCTTCGCCTGCATTTGCACGCCAGCAACTGCACAGCGGCCGATATGTTGGCCTTCTTGAACACTTCCGACCTCTACTCAACCAATGGAAAGACAAGTATCTACAGCCCCAGGTGCTGGATCAAGCATTTTACAACGATCTCTTCATCGAATACAATTTCGTCCGCGTTTACACCCATTCGGTGGGAATGCAAGCTGTAGTGGAGCGTGCCGTCGCAGAGAACGATCCCAACAACTTTGACGGAGTGCGACCTATGACCATCGACCCGACAGACTACGAATACATTCAAGAGGTCATCGATGGATGTAGCCAGATCCTGCAGAAAGTAACCCATCTAGCCGAAGCGGGGGCATTGCGCTTCACGCCAGTTCGAATTGTCCTTCGCATCACCAGCGCCTCGATCTTTTTGATGAAAGCGTTGAGCCTGGGGACTCGGCAAGCAAAGCTCCAAGAATCACTCGACGTACTCGAAAGGAGCATCAAAGCACTCAAATCAAATGCTTTGGACGATGTGCATCTGAGTACTCGCTATGCGACACTACTAGAAATGCACGTTTCGCGCTTGCGCCATAATCTAATAGCATCCTCGAGGGCTGCGAAAAATAGCCAAGTTGCTACACGAAGATCATCTATGGGACCCCCTCCTTGGCCGGACGCTGGCGATCGGTCAAATCCCCCGAGCGCTCAGGCATCGCAGGATGTGACGCCAGACCTGGGATTCATTCCCTCCTTGAACGACATTGGCGCAGATGACTGGCTTTCCCTGCCGTTCGATCCCTCAATGGCACCATTTGGCATGACCCATGGATGTCAATTTCCAATGTATGAGGGTGGAGCATTGGATTTTATTTGGAATCTGCCATCGTGATGGGGTCCATCCTGTATACATAAGTTAGCTCATACATACCCAGGTAGTAGCACGGTCGCAATAGTAATACGACGGGGTACCCCGAAGGGCAAAGCCACGATCTAAGAAAAGAACAAAGTAAGAAGAAATTTTCTTTGTATCCCTGCACCACGGCATGTCTTTTCCGAGCCCAGAATATATCATAGGCCCGGGATTCTCGTCCTTTGCAGGAACAGAGTCCCCATTCCTGAAGCTCCCGATGGGTCTCGGTGGCAAACGGGTTATCAACATGTGACCGGGGTCATCTTGGCTTCGCAAAAACTACTTCCATCAAAACCCCGACCCCATCTTCTTATCGCCTTCATTATTGACGACCCCCTTCGTCTACCGTTTGCTACTGCCATTTGTCTCCAATCTCTATCCTCTTCTACCTTTCACTGAATTTACGACCCGACGAAACAATCCGAACCACCCGGCTTCAAACTGCGCTCTCTTGGTCGACTCACCTCGCGACCAAGTAAACATCCTAAATCGACCCTCCGCTTTATCACAATCCTCACTACTTTACAATGGATCACTCCAGAGATCCCTGCCCTTGGGTCGCCCTGAGCGATTTCGGTGGTGCCTTTGCTATGGGTGTACGTCTTGCCAGATCATCCGTCCCTTTCCAACCAACAACGCGAGGACATGCGATCATCAAAGATTCCCTGTCAATCACACAGTGAAATCATATCAACTGACTTTCTTATTGCAAAATAGGCTATCGGTGGTTCCATCTGGCACGGTGTGAAAGGTTTCCGCAACAGCCCCTACGGTGAGCGCCGGATAGGCGCTCTCACAGCCATCAAGGCTCGCGCCCCAGTTCTCGGTGGAAACTTCGGAGTTTGGGGAGGTCTGTTCAGTACCTACGATTGCGCGATCAAGGGACTGCGAAAGAAGGAAGACCCTTGGAATGCCAGTACGATTACCCTCCCTCGGCGAACTCGATCCGCCCGACCTCGGGACGAAAACACATACTGACTGATTTGATTTAGTTATCGCTGGTTTCTTCACCGGTGGTTCTCTGGCTATCCGTGGCGGTGTCAAGGCTGCCCGTAACTCCGCTATCATGTGTGCTGTCTTCCTGGCCGTCATTGAAGGTGTCGGCATCGGTTTCCAGCGCATGATGGCCGATAACACAAAACTCGAACTTCCTCCTCCACCCCCATCCGAGGCCAAGGCTCTTGCTTAAGTCTCAAAACAACTGCGCCTTCGGGCTCTCGATATATTCACTCGGTGGGCTACGATCCACCTCTCTTCTGGTCTCTTGTCTTTATAACACATCTCACATTGAAGCTCTCTGCTCAGGTGTTTGGTTTTGGTGATTATCATTCAACGACATAGAGGTTTCTGCTTTTTTTCTATTTGCTTCAGCTTGCACACTGATATCGCTCACTGTTATGTCATTGGAACTGTATTCTATGGATGGCAGGTTCGTTCTACGGCCAGTTCCAAGCATTACCGTGTGTCGTCTTTTCTCGGAGCCCTTTGGCTTCCAAAAATAGTCCTCTTCATCCTACAAAAAGCGTTGGGAAGGTGATGGATTCATGTACATTAACGCACAGCTATCAGGCATAATACACAACTTTACTTCAAATCTTCACGTGTCCATTTTGGTTTAAAGCACAGGCAATTTTATTAATAACAAAAGCTAGGATTTCCTCAAGGATATCTTTCGAAGATCAGACATATCTATCAGAATGACCTCACACTAACACCAGGGCTCGGAATCTTGCTGCGAATGGCGATGTGACTCCGCCTTGCATTTCCCCGCATCGAAGCAACTTGGAACACAACATAATCCCAACAGCCAATCACCCAAAATGACAAAACCAACATTCAAACCCACCCTCATCATCCACGGCGGCGCCGGCAACATCCAACGCTCCAAACTGCCCCCAGACCTCTACGCCGCCCACCACACCTCCCTCCAATCCTACCTCCGCTCAACCCACGACCTCCTTAGAGATGGCGCCACAGCCCTCGACGCTGCCGTCCACGCCGTCTCCCTCCTCGAAGACGACCCTCTATTCAATTGCGGCCGCGGCAGCGTCTTCACAACAGCCGGCACAATCGAAATGGAAGCCTCCGTAATGATAACCTCTCTCCACGACGACACCCAACCGGGCACCATCAAGCGCGGCGCAGGCGTGATGGGCCTCCGCAACGTCCGCCACCCAATCCATCTCGCGCGCGAGTCGCTTCTCAGAACAGGCACCGCAGCTGACGGGTCACCTACCAACGACGGCGGAAGTATGCATTCCCAGCTAGTCGGCCCACACGTGGAGTCCCTTGCACGCGACTGGGGGCTAGAATTCTGTCCCGATGAATGGTTCTTCACACAGAAACGGTGGGATGAGCACCTACGCGGCTTGAAGGGCGAGGAAGAGCCTGTTTCTTCAACCCAGGGCACTGTTGGATGCGTCTGTCTCGATCAATGGGGGAATCTGGCCGTTGCCACTAGTACCGGCGGTCTGACGAATAAATTACCCGGCAGGATCGGTGATACGCCTACTCTGGGTGCTGGATTCTGGGCTGAGGCGTGGGATGAAATGGTGTCGAGTAGTGGTGCGCTGGATTCCCCTGTGGGGGATATCTTGCGTGATGCCAGGAGTTGGATTGGGGATTGCATGCCGCGCTTTCTGCGAGACTCGAGTCATACGGCTTATGCGCCGCTTGTGCCCACGGAATCTTCGCAGCTCCGCTTTGCGGGTGAGAAGGCTTCTCGGTACTACCAGGTTCCAGGTGCTGAATACTGCCGTCGGCGGGCTGTTGCTGTCTCTGGGACGGGGAATGGGGATTCGTTTCTTCGAGTCGCGGCTGCGCGGACTGCTGCGGCTATGTTGAGGTTTTCTTCGTCTGGAGGGTTCCCCGATGGTCTTGCGGATGCAGTGACGGCTGTTGCTGGGCCGGATGGTGAGCTTCAACGCTCGGCTGGTGCGAGGTGGGATAAGACTGGTGAGGGGGAGGGAGGTATCATTGGCATAGAGGCGGTGCTTGACCCTGGAAATGGAGGCTCTGATGTTAAACTGCATCGGGGCGAGGTTGTGTTTGACTTCAATTGTGGCGGTATGTGGCGCGCTTGGGTAGAGGAGGATGCTACTGGCAATGAGGTTGAGAGGATCATGGTTTTTCGAGAGCAATATGAATAGACTAGTTTTGTCGAATTGAGAAATGCATTGGCCATCGAATGAACATAGATGGAACTTCCGAAACCCCCGTCGTAGGCATCGGACATGTTGCTGGCTTGACCACGTAGGCCTTTCACTTCGCCTATGAGAAAGAAATCATCCTGCTAACGCCATCTGTTATCTCCAAACTTTTTCCAAGCACACAAATCCTTGTTATCTTCCCCGCAATTTGATCCTGCTGTTGGTAGAATAGCCCGTCTTCGAATCCCAATATGTCCCGCAACCTGTTAGCATCAAAGAAGACCAGATGCTCACAAGTTTCTATGGCAATCTCCAAAGCTTGACGGGGAACCGTTACGGTCATCAACGCAAATGAACTGATTACCTGTCGCGTGGTTCCAGGAACAATGCTCAGAATTAGTTGATTTGGCTGTATATCAGACTCAACTGTTTCATCAAGGTTGAACAGAGGTATATAGTGGGTCTTTACCTAGTATATATGCAGGGCTTGAAAGCTATTGCGTCTGATATCAAAGATAAGATAAATATAGAGATTCAGACGGAGGCAAACGCAAGGCAGATGTCGGCATGGGGGCAGAGGAAAGAAGAGAGAACAGCAGAGATAAACGGTATCCTGAGAGATATCTTTCTATTAAAAAAACAAAACCAAACCAAACCAAAAGAATACTAGGGAAAGAGATCAAGCAGGAAAAAGAAAGCAAAAAAAAAGAAGTGTCGGGGAATCGCACCCCTGACTGGGATGCTCCTTATGGCCGCGTCTCACAGGCAATCGTCGCATTTAAAGTCCTTCGGTTTATGGTCTTCATTGCACAGACATTCGTCCGGACCTAAACACACTAGGCTAACTTCCCAGGATTACTGATTTCACTCCGGACTCTTGTATTTAACCTCACTTGTTAGTCTTTTTGTCACCAATTCACACATTGTGATTTCCCCACTCCCTCTCTAGCTCTGCGGCTACAGGACTAACAAGCTTGTTTACTTATCCCCTTGACAATCCATGGATGTATGCTGGCTTGTGTCCTCCCTCTGATCCTCAACCTTGCCTAGGTATATTATCACATCCCATAAGCCATGCAGAAGTAACCCCAGAAATTACTTAGGATTTCCAAGGCTATAATAATCTTCCACTTTGCAAATGTGGAGACCGCTTGGACGAAGTATTGCTTGCATCACTGCTAGGATAATGAAGTGCACGGTTCAACTTTTTGATAGTGTTTAAGATAAAAGCAGAAGCTCATATGTTTAGGTATATTTCGTTCCCTTTTCCAATCTTACCGCTTCTTGTTGAAAGTTGTAGATGAACCGACGTCCGCCAGCCACGTGGGAGACATGATGCCAAGACCCGGGGAGCCGCTGGACCGCCCCACAGTGGTTCCACAGCCCCAGACTCTGAGCATTGCAGTAAGCTTGGAACGGACAAGCGGTAGGACAATACATAAGGGTAGAGTGTTTATTTATTTTTATTGTTTGCCAATATCAGCAAAAAGAATGATATATTCATAGGACCAACCAGATATCTACAAATGTAGCCAGGTAGCGCGTCTTGACCAGCACGAACTCGCCCAGCAATCAAGCAATAAATACAATAAGGACTCACAATCCCTGTCTTGAATGTCCAGGCCAGTCTACCACCCCTTCAATGGCGTAAGCAAGGCAAGGACCCCATCCTTTGGTGAAACAGTAGCCCCCTCCCGAATCTCCAATTTGGCATCAGGGAACTTCAACTCCATCTGGAACCGACCAACGATAGCAGCAACTAAGCAAGCAAGCTCCGACTTCGCAAAGCCCTGTCCGATACAGCTGCGAGGGCCATGCAAGAACGTCAAAAAGGCATAGTTGCTGACCGCACCGCCGGTGTTGGCCTTACCAGGACCCATAAATCGGTCCGGGTTGAACTCGTTGGCGTCTGGTCCCCAGAACTCTTCCATTCGGTTGAGGATCTGCGGAGAGAGGAAGAACAGTGTTTCCTTGGGGATGTGCTTGCCAGCGAGAGTCGTATCACGAATTGCCTTGCGGATCGTGATCGGCACAGAAGGGTAGAAGCGGAGGACCTCGTTGCAGAAGGCATTCAGATAGGGCAGATTGTCGACTGCGGCTGCGGAGATTGGAGTCGGATCATCGAGCGAAGGAAGATTGGCACGGGCTTCAACACGCAGACGAGTCTGGACGGACGGGTTCTTGCAGAGTGCATAAACAGCCCATTGCAGGGCAGTCGCTGTTGTCTCGTGGCCTGCGGCGAGGAAGGTCATGGATTGGTCTACGAGGTTCTCTTCATCAAAGGTGCCGCTGCTCAATGCGACCGAGATGATGTCAATACTAGTCTCGGATTTGGGATCTTGCATTTTCGCTTTCTTCTGTCGGATCATTTGCCGTGCGACGTTGCGGATGACCTCGCCGCTCTCTTTGATTTCTTTATTGCGCTTTGTTGGTAGACGGTGGACCCAGGCCGGTCTACCAAATAGCATGCCGACCACAAAGAGTGCTTTCATGAAGATGGGTGGGGAGGACATGACTTGGCGGTAGGATTGGTTGAGGGTGTTGTCGGGATCACGGAGAGAGTCGAAGTCATGGTCCATACCGGCAACACCGATGATGTCTAGGGTTGCTCGACTGGCCCAATTGCTGATTTGGACTGTGTTGTCCTTGTTTCCGCTGGCTTTTCTACCTTCCAGGTCTTGCTCAATCATCTTAACCATTTCGACGCTCTTGGCCCAAAAGACAGGATAGAGATTCTTGATGTGGCGATAGGAAAAAGCTGGCATGAGGTTCTTCCGTTGAGTCTGATGCATTTCTTGTCAGTTTATTGTATCAGGTATAAAGTAAAATCACCGGGCCAAGTCTTACCTTGTGTTCATCGCCTTCAGCAAGTAGGACTCCATCTCCTGTAATCCGCCGCAGGCTCTGCCGGATCAATTCGGGTTTCTCGAAATCGTAAACTTTGGTGACAAGGATCTCGCCCAACGCCTTGGGGCTTGTCAGAAACACTCTCTCAAGATTCCCGACAATATAGTACCGGAGAAGATCTTGATTGGGCATGGTTTTGACAAACTCCTTTAGCTGCGGGTAGGGAGTTTCGAGCAAGAAACTTGGAGAATTGCCGGTGAGCCAGCTTCGGTTCTGAATAGTGTTAGACAGTGCGATCCAGGCGATAGAAAGCAAATATTGCTTACCGGAGGAGAATGAATATGCTTTAACGGAGTGAAGTAGTCGGGGTATAGCACCAGCCGATAGATAAGTTTTGATACAGAGATAATTCCGAGGAAGATGGTAAACGTCAGAATTCTCGAGCTGTATATGGCATACTCCGGTTTGAAGTATATCCCAGCGGCGATGCCGAGATAAAGAATGTTGAAGCTGTCGCTGATGACCCCCATGGCTGGAGTTCCTGAAGGATCAGGGGGCAGTGAGATTTGAATCGAAGGGGTTGGATCTCACAGACGCGGAGAATGTATATCTGAATAGCCAGGACTTGATCTGATTTGGAGAAGATCCCCGGAAGCACAAGTAAAGAGCCTCCAAGACTGTGTGGGGCGTGCGGATGAATAAGTGTACATACAGGTCTCGTTGGCTTCTCTCGGAATTCCCCGCGATCTGGAAGATCGATCGCAATTTACACCCGGGGGAAGTGGGAACTCTGGGTATATATATTCAGCTGGGTCGACATTGTTCAGTTGGTCCGTCTGGCACAGGTGCTTGTGAGATGGTTGCCTGGGGACGACATATGACGGTGCGGAGATCCCCCATGGCTACCTCGTACCCGATCAACTTGGTGTTGACAATCCTGCCTGAGGCATGATTCCCTTGTTTTTTGGGAGTCGCCAACGCTACGCCCATTTCAGTTACTCGGCAGAATACCGTTCCCCGGTAGCACTAAGACATGTCGGGTCTGGAAGGCGGTGTGTCGAGGATCTATATGTTACCACTGCTGTACAATACTCATCTTACCATCATCATCCAATCCATCATTCTCATTGGTCCAGAAGCTCATATTGTCATTTTGTATTACACCACATCCGGTTATTGCACACAAAATGAGCTCAGATAGTGAGGACGATTCGATGTTCAATTTTGAAGATGATATATTCGCACCTCACCAGCGAGTATCTGCCATTTCCGTGGACACACAACGAGATGGTCTGTTTGGCCATGAGAACATGGGACTCCATGCAATGTCTATTGGCGCAGCAGCCCAAACCTCAAGGTGGGAAACCGCGTGGCCGTGGTCGTGGCAAACGCAGAAACAATAAAAAGAAGGGAGAAGCAACGAGGGTTGTGAATACCGGAGATGTCAGCACTGAAAGATTCAAGGCTGTGAATACTGGATATGTTAGCGTTGAAACACCCAGTGTTGTCAATACTGGATATGTTTCCGTTGAAACACCCAGGGACGTGAACACCCGAGATGTCAGCACTGAAAGATTCAAGTTTGTGAATACCGGTTATGTTAGCGTCGAAATAATGGAAACACCATGAACTCGTCGGAAGAAAGCAGTGAGAAACCTTGGGTTCAGTCGACGGTGAACATTCTGGGTGCGAGTGAAGGGCCGATAGTTCCGTAACTACGTATTCCGGTTGTTTTTATTTGTATTTCAGACCTGGAAGAACGCTAAGTAGTATCCTTAACACAGATTTGACGAAAGTGGTTCATGTTATCGCGACTTGTACTCCGTAGCATACCCAGCTATGCACTATCAAACGCAATATCCTGGCAATATCGCACGCCATATATCCCAGCGAACCCCAACAATTGCATCAATGACATCTCGCAACATATCAATTCTCCACCGATCCTAAAATCCTATCAAACTCTCCAACCGTATGCTCCCAAACCTTCTGCCTCATTCCCTGCGCCCGAAGTCCAGCCAGAATCTCCACAACCTGCGGACCAGAATCCTCCCCCGTCCAACCAATACTGTAAACACCACTTCCAACCTCTCCATCAGTCCCCCTAGCAACCTCAACCCCCTCCGACAAAGCAACACCATCCGCATCATCCAACCGAGCCCGAGGGGGATACTTCGCACTAGTCGCAAAGAACAAATGCCTCTCCCCCGACTCTCGCGTCGGGATATAAATCAACGGCCCGATAACCCAAAGCACGATACTCAGGAACCAAGTAAAGAGACGATTCACCTCGCGCGTAATCCCCGATCTGACGGTGCCGGGGTAATCGTTGATAAAAGCCACTTCGGGCGCTTGCTCGGCGAGCGATTCCAGCGCCATGTCGGTCATGGATGTAAGGTGTCCGCGCACCTTGAGACCCGACAGTTTCCGGAACTGGAAGTCGGTTGTGTCGATTGGTCCCTCGTGGCCGCCGGCTACGACGGTGACGACCCGTCGGAGACTGGTTGCTTGCTTGAGTTGCGGGAGGAGGTTGGAGACGAAGCGGGTGCGGGCGTAGTATGCAGTTGCGGGAAGGATGTGCAGGCCTTCGGATGTATCTGTGAAGATGGTTAGACAGATGGTTGATATACGAGGCCGATTAGTTCTACTCACCCACTCCTGACTTGATGGTTCCGCAGCTCAGGAAGAGGAGATTGATGGTCTTTTCTTTACTTTGAAGATCGTGACAGACTTTGTCGACATTGCGGATGAGGCTGATGTCTGCTTTGATGAAGTTGAATTCTCCCTCGGGGTTGAGTTGTCGACAGTCGGCTGTGATGCGGGCTGCGGCTTCTTCGACGCGGCCTATGAAATACACGCGAGGTGATCGGGCTGAGCGGGCGAATTCTTTTAGCGCTGTTTCCCCGATGCCGTTTGTTGCGCCTACGAAGACGGCGACGAGGCCTGCGGGGAGGGTGCTAGCGATTTGGGCATTGGAGGACTGGATGTCTGGTAGAGAGACCATTTTGGAATTGGATGGAAATGATGGGATGTTAAGAATAACTGTTTTGGAGTCGTGGATGCCGAGCTTCTTGTATTCATATTGCAAGGATGGCCCCGGGTGCCTAGACCACTGTGTTCGAGTCATGCAGCGCATCGACCGAGCTCTAGGCCGTCGCGGACGAACAACGGACTTATGCCACTACATACTACTCGGAGCAATCAAAACGCCATGAGGCATGAATAGGAGGGGGGCAAAGTACTCACGCGTATTGATTCGGCCAATGTGCAGGCACAGTATTAAACGGGTATTTACTGTAAATATAGTCCATATCCTACCGGTTTGCTTGTTCAATTAAGGGCCACTACCAGTACCACGACCGGCGAAGCCCAAGCGGATCTCGTTTGCGACGGAGACCTCAAGATTCAGATCATCAGCCCAAGCCCAGACCAAACCGGGATTCTTCTGGAAACCCCGACCGACAAGCACAAAGTCCAAGCCTTATTTCTCAAGCAGGGAATTGGCTAGCTGAGCAGAAATGATCATGCTAACTGATCTAACCAGAAGTTTGTCCCCAACGGCCTGCTTGACCGCCACGGCAAATAGGGAGTGGAAAGCAGACTTGGCATGGATGTGCTGCTTCTCATGATTACCTCCAGTGCTGATATCCAGAACGTCAATGCCGCTGTGCTCAGCTAGCGCCTGCGCAAACCGCACCGTATCCTCGATGCGCCAGCTGGGCTTGTCAGCGATGGACTCTTCAAGCCAATCGGTCGCAGAGACGCGCAGGAAGATGGGCATATCCTTGGGGACATTATCACGCGTCAACTTGGCGACTTCCAATGACAGCCAGATACGGTTCTCAGAACTACCGCCGTACTGGTCAGTACGACCATTGGTCGCCGGAGATAAGAAGTTCATGAGCATGTAACCGTGGGCATTGTGAATCTCGATGAAGTCTACGCCAGCTTTAACAGCACGCTTCACAGCGGACACCCAGTCTTGCTTGAATGTCTCGATCTCGGCCGATGTGAGTGCCTGCGGCGTGGGGAATCTCGCGTTGAAAGGTACGTTAGTGGGACCCTTAACATTATCGGGCCACCCGCCCAGCTCCACGGTTGCTGTGGCACCTATGCTCAAGAAGGGAGCAACGGTGCTTGCCTTGCGGCCCGCATGAGCCAGCTGCACACCTATGATCTGGCTCTGACTGTGCACGAACTCGACGACGCGGCAGAATGGCTCGATCCGCGAGTCTTTCCAGAGTCCAGCGTCCTCCGGTGAGATGCGACCGTTAGCTTGTACAGCGGTGGCCTCCGCGATTAGCAGGCCCGGTCCGCGCTGGGCAATACCGCCCAGATGGGCCATGTGTCAGTCGGTCATGTGTCCATCCTGGGCGCTGTACTCCGTACTGGCATAGTGGAGATAGTCCAATGCGATTGTGGAATGTCAAGCCTCGTACAGTGAAGGGCTGAAATAGCTTCGGGGGTTCAGTACCGTCAGATTGGGGCATTGCTGCCGACCCGGCAGGAGGGACCTGGGCTGGGGTAAAGTATAAAATTCCAGCTGCAGGCTTGTTTGCTTTACGCGCGGTGGAGTTAGACATGTCGGGGAATTGGAATGTGCACGATGAAATGCATATGAACAACGAAATGAATGCAGTCAAAACGAACGTTGGCAGCAATCGCCGTTTTACCATGCTGTCTTCGACCGAATAATGCCTCCACTGGATTATAATTGGGATATCCTCATCTGTGAGCATGCCGCATCTCCAAGAGACTAGCCAAGTTGCGACCGACCGACGTCATGGTTTGATTTAACGCCCAATAAAATCGGTCCCTGGTGATAGGAGACAAGAGCATTCTTCAACACTTTCACTACACTACCTCAGTTGGGAATGAGCCTATTAGCCATTGGGTCTGAATAGAATCAATGTGGCAATTGGTCTTTCGTGGTTGCTGTCGCGATCGTCTCAAGAGCACCTCGGGAGCCGTTAGTGCTTAGTAAAGGCTTGAGTCCTTGTTATTCTTGGCAAGCGAACAAGATTGTTCAATATGTTGCTTTGGATATTGCGCGGAGCAAAGGAGTCCGGATTATTGATGCCGTAGGGTAGAGGAGATCGCTTAGTGAGTCTTCGGAAATATGGGGTCCGTCCCTGAGTGCATACCTTGGATGCCACCCGAGGTAAACAAACATCGTCATGCCAACCCTTGAAGTGTCCAGCTTGGCGTGTGTCGAGAACGGCCACAACAAGCTATTATGAGAAGAAGATCTCAGTCAAGATGAAAGCCTTGAAAATAGATCAAACCATTGACTCGATGTAACGAAGCGCCCGAAGGGAACCTGCAGCACAGCGCTTAGGTACAAAGGACATGGACCCTCCCTGGCGCGTGCTGTGGGCCAGTCACCAGTTGGAATGGATAGTGCCGAAGCCCCAGCGGCCCCCCATCTGTGTCTCAGGGCGTTGGAGAGTGGGCCAGTGGGCCAGTGGGCATGCGTAATTAACCGGTCTCCAGGAAGAGGTGTTCTGGATGGAGGAGAGGGGTTCCCTGCGAGATTGAAGAACGTGGCCTAGACAGTTCATAGACGCACAACGGAAAAGAAGAGAAGACAAAGGTCCGAAGCCATCAGTGTTCAGCCCTACGTGGAAAAGAAGAGAAACGAGCTCGTGCCTGAAACTTCCCGCGTCTCCACTTCCACCGAACCCCCCCCTTTGGAGGTTTCAACTTACACTTCGTCTTTCCCCTTTCTCAACTTCCATGAACTGTCGCTCTCTTTTTTCTCTAAACTCATTCACTACGCTCATCCCATTCTTCATTCTTTCTCCACAATCCGATCTTCACCGTTGGTCCCTTTCTTGGCAAGATCGGCGCATTACGCTTTGTCTTCGAAGTGTCTACATTCTCGCTTTGAGATCGTCAATGCGCGTCTGAAACAGCGCTCCATTATCGCCAGCCGTACATGTGGCTTTTAGTCCTTGATACCTGACACTTCAATCTCCTTGCCTCTCGCAGGTATGCGCCATTCGCGCTGTTAAGATACTATCACCCCCGTCGCTCGTTGCGCCGAAGCTCTGCTTCATCCTTTCTTTTATCACTTACACCCCGTTCTGATCTTGAACCGCGACTTTGCCCGGCTGGCCCGAGGAAGTCGATATTTGACCGTCATCCCATTCATTTGACTCCCCGCAATCGCATCCTGGCAGGACCAGACTCATTGACACGATGTTGTGCTCTGGAGACCGTGAGAAAGGGGATGTGGCAATGGAAGAGAAATGGGACTATGTGGTACGCCGATACGATTGCATGTCAGTCTGGGTAGCCTGGATCACAATACTGACTCTTAGTAGAACTTGAATGACTTCAAATCCGAGTCTTGCTGGACCCCGTTCTCATACTTCTTTATATGGGTGTTTCTGTTTGTCTCGCTTGCTGTCTATGGCGTCGATACATTCACTGCCGTCAATCTGATTGCTTTTTCTCGATGGTCTGGCAGAGTTGAACCAGCCATTCCCTTTTATATCTCTCGATGGATTTTCGCCGCCTGCATCATCGCTTCTTTCGTTCTGTTGGCTTACCGTTGGATACATGCCATCCGCGCCATACGTTCGGGGAGCATCACTCGAAGTTTTCTGGATCCCTTGGCTGTGCGCATTCAGAGTATCCGCTTCGGCAAGCGGGGTCGTGGGTACAGGAGATTCCTTGTCTTCGCTGAATTGACAAAGGACAGAAAGGCCGCGGAATACGTTGCTCTATACGCATACTTCTCCTTCCAGTGTAAGCATCCTATTGGCTCACAAGTCCTCGAAAATTGCTAATAAAGGTCTAGTCTGGATGAACACGATCTTTGCAGATGGTCCCCGTCAAGTTATCAATGGCATCACTTTATATTCAGTCATGCAGATGGACCTTCTTCCTGGAGGGAAGAATGCCGCTGATGACGATGGTAGTTCCTCCATCGGTCAATTCTTCAACAATATCAAGATCCTGGCTGAAGATAACAATCTCCAAGCCGTGGTCCTTTTTGGTATGCTTTTCACCCTCGTCATTTGGGTTCTATCAGTTCTCAAATTGATCTCGGCGATCGTCCTCTATTTGATCTTCTTGTTCCACCATATTCCAGCGGAGGACGGTACTCTTTCCAGATACTGCCGTCGCAAGGTCGGTCAACGTCTGAAAGGCATTGTTCATCGCAAAAACAACAAAGCTTTGGCAAAGGGACTCAGGCTACAGAACCGAGCACCCACCCAGCCAACCCTAGCCGCTTTCGATACAAACCCAACTCTGCCCTCTTTTGCTGATGACAAAGGTCCCGCGGTGGCTTCGTTGTCGAGAAGTACGACCCAAACCACTTTGCCATCTTACTCGCGATCGGCTTCATCGACAGCGGTGGGACACATCCCAACACTACCAAATTTGGAGTTTGATACCAAACCACCACTCGCCCGAACAGCAACTTCATCTTCAGCAATATCCGAGTCTGCTTCATTGACGGGCAATGCAGCCGGGATGGGATACAGCCCCCTCGATCGACACAACCCGACGCTTCCTCCAGTCCCACCGTTGCCGGCTAACATTCCATCGAGGATGGCCACTCCTCAGTCTCACGCAACCCCCGGGCCGTATGCCAATGATGGTCGTCATAGCCCCGGGCGTGGATATCGCAACCTGACCGACCATACATCTGATTCTCGTCCTTATCGGAATCATCCAAATCATACCCCAGCGCCAGATTATGGTTCAACTGACATGGATGGTTCCGATGATCACGAATACTTCAACCACGATCGTGCGCCCGCTCACTACGACCCCTACGGTCCCTCAAGGACTGCGTACGGCGGAGAGGACGAATACGGAGGAACATATGGCACCCCTGGTGGCCAGAGAAGGACATCTCAACCACAGCAAGATTACTATCCCCAGGATCCATATTCAACACGATCCTACACGCCAGCTAGCACTGGTGGGACACCCGCTCCCTCTGCACGGTCCTACACCCCGGCAAGCTACCGACCCACACCTCCCCCACAAGCGGCTGCATTGGCACAACCTCCCCCGAGGACGTTCACCCCAATGAGCTCAGCGACCCCGCCTCCCCAAAATGGTGCTTATGCGGCTTTCAACCCGCAGATTTCTTCTCAAGCACCCGACCCTTACTCCCAGAGGGCCCCTGCCGTGTCAGGCTACACACGAGCAAACACCGCATCGCCCTCGGCCATGCACCGCGCTCCACCAGGACACTCATTCAACCGCGCCAATACCCACCAATATTAATATGGTCACCTCTTACCATTCCTTCTAGGCCGTGAGGCATTACCTTGATGAACACCAGGAGCTGGCTCCTGTGCTTGATGACCAGATCACCCCTTAATTCTGATCACGACCAGCGAGCTAGTCTCCCAAGATGTTTTAAATACCCCCTTTTTTGTCCACTTCAATATCCTTTCTCAAATTCTTATCCTCGATGACATTAATCGATCTTTACTCACACAATGTACCGTATAAAATGTATACCTGGATTATGAGTATCTTTCAGTAATCTAGCCCATTCCTTTTATCACAAAGCTCCCCGATATAACGACGTATTAGAGAAGTAGGAAAAATAAATAATTATACATCTACTGTACGTTGTCGACATCAAAGATGTCCCTAAGTTACAAAGTGAAATCCACCAATACCAGCACCCGATCACCAAATCTTCTTGGCAATCATCTCATACCGCTGTACATGATCAACAGTGAATTCCGCATCCTTGTTCTTCTCCTTCTCCTTCTCCTCCTTCTCCTTCAGCCGTCGCAATCCATCCGGATCATCCGCATAGATCAACCGTCTCTTCTCATCCCCGACTTCCACGACACCCCACCCGCCAACACGCTGGCTGCCCTCGACATTAAATTCGCGCGCAAGGGGAACACCGCTCTCGGTACCGTGGTGCGAGGACTGTCTACGCTCGCTCTCTAGACCTTTCATCTTCCTGTACCGGGAGCGCGCGAAGGCGAGCAGCACCATGCCTAACAGGAGTTTGAGGATTAGGAGTACCACGAAGCCGGTGAGCATGAAGATGGCCGTGAAAATATGGACGGACTGGGCGGGCGATGGGATGGCGTTTTCTAGGAGAGTGCGGAAGAAGGCGCTGACGTGGGCCGCTGAGGCGGGGAGGAGGGTTGCGAATGTTAGGGGTGGAGCGGAGGGAATTGGGGAGGGGGCGTAGTGGCTGTGGATTGAGGTGAGGGAGGTTGCTTCCATTGCTGTTGAGGAGGGGTGATGGGGGACCACGGCCGCTAGGAACATTTGGTATGTTTGGACGGAGACTCGGAAGAAGAGGCAGGAGAGGGGGATGACTGGGAGGCCGATGCGACGGGTGAGGTTTTGTTCGCCAAAGGCGTTCGTGTAGTAGTCCTTGGCTAGGACGTCGAGGAAACGGCCGTAGATTGCTGGTCGGTTGTTGTTGAATTTGTTGATGTAGGCGTGCTTGAGCCAGTCTACTAGCATCTCAGAGCCCAGTACAACTAGGAACGGGCCTAGGACTTGGGCTAAAGTTGGAATGAAGGAATTGACGCTGTTTAGGGAGGATAGGATGGAGGATGGGAAGAGTGTAAATGCCTGGGGTAGAATGGACGATGCAGTGCGTGGAGGCGTTGACAGTGGCGTGCTGTTGGTGCTTGTGGAGGATTGGCCTGGCATGGTAGATCCTAGCCCGAAGTTGCCGATAAAATTGAAAGCGCCTGTCTCCACGATGTTACGTGAAGCGATGATGGTGAGCATCAGCCAGAGCTGGAACCGTTCCACGACATCCGCACAGGTCAGCTGGAAGAGGTTTTCCTTCTCAAACTTGCGGAAGACGGTAGATTTGATCTCCACAAATTGGTTCGATAGTAGTAGAGTAATCAATGCATTGGAGTATGAGTTCACTGCCACGTTCAAAGTCATGACCTGGTAGAATAGAGAGGTCGCATGGGATACTGTGTACACCAGTGCCACCAGGAACAACCAAAATGGACGAATAATCTTGCTTCGACCATCAGGACGGCGCTCAAGCGCCTCTCTTGAGAAAAGACATTCGAGAACATCTTGACCTATGGCAGCCAAAAGCCTGTCGCTGACTTCTAGCACATTGTAAATAACGTACAGCTTGATAGCGGCCTGGCCACGAATCCAATGATACATCCGACTGGCATCAAAGTACATCAAAACACAGCAGGTCGCTATCATAAGCAAGCCCGTAAGGATGTCCGCTTTGTCGTCTGGGAGGAGTGCTGAAGGCATCGACTTCCTCCGTCGGTGATGATGCTTGCGTGATTCGGAAGATCGATGTTTCCTTCTAAGCACATCCGGCTGTGGTTGTCTAGAGTCCTTATCTGCAAGCCCTATATGTGGTCCCGCAGAAGGGCCCGGGCGCTGGGTGGCGTCGGATTCGCTTTCGCGTCTTCCACGCTGTTCCTCCTTGGCATTATCATTCCTTCTGCGCCATACTCGACCAATTCCATTCAGAACAAATTTCCAAATGAAGCGGATCTCAGCTCCCAGGTTCATGACCCATGACTCGCTTAAGATATAGACGGCTTTGATGAATCGGAGCGGCATTATCGTGAAAGAATATAGCCAAGCATCAAGGCAAGCAAGACTTCCGAAGCAGAGCACCTGCTCTAGCATAGGTGCAAGCATAAGGAAGTTCATGAGCCTCTCTATTTTCACTCGTGATGATTCATATGGGAAGTCGTTGGCAGCGTCGCGGTGGATGTATAGTGGTGAAGGTCGACCAGACGCAAGTTCAAGTTGAAGATACGTTGGCAAGGAGACTGGGGGCAAGGGAATTGATGATGGCAAAGGTGGGGACACAGGTGATTCAATTATGTGAGGGGATGCAATAAGGTGGCTCTTCAACTCGCGTTCCGGCGCGGGTCGGTCTTGTCGTGGGCGCGATGCCCATGTCTGGTTCAGGCGATCATTATTTGGGGTGAACGGCAGTTGGCGCCGCGTTGAGCTGGGGGTAGAAACGGTTCGTGAGGCATGCGGTCGATTACGGATAGGGGCGCTCTGGGTATTTCGAGGGAAGCCGGGACTTGCTGGTGCAGAGACATCTCCCAGCAACGCTTCTTTGGTGGTCCGTAGTTTTGGCAAAGCCTCAGCGGGCAAAGGCTTGTCATCGATTGACTGGAGTACAAACTCAGGTATGTCCCGCCGAGTGAACGGGACATTCCCGTTTTCCGACAATACTCGTTTTCCGGCGGTCGTCTCTGTTCCCGCAGGACGATACGGTATAGACTCTGGCGAGGATGTGAGTTCCTGGATCTTCTCAGGAGATAACCTCACGATCTTCTCTTTATCTTCCGAGAGTCGACGGGACATATCGACAGACAAATCAGCCAAAGCAGCTTTGACTTTGGGGCCTTCGTAGATATCCACAACCGACAATCGGCCACGACCATCTCCTCCGTGTGACGAATGCTCGACTAGAATACCAAGTCCCTGGTCCGGCGACCCCAAATCGGTTGTTTTTTGGTCACCATTGTTTCCATTGGCGAGTTGACGTTTGGAGGTCTGATCATGTCCCAGTTGCCATTTTGTGCCACCATCTCCATTCGTTGCGTCTCGGTCACTCTCATGATTGAACAGTTCCACCAGTGAATCCGCTCCATTTTGTTTGCCCTTCCGAGAATACGACGTCGATTGTTTATCGGCCTTCAAGCTCCTGTTCGCCCCATTTGGAATACCGTTTTCGGCCTTCCTCTGTTGGGATGTAGCTTCACTGATCTCAGCGGCAGGACTCATTCTGACACCCAAATCGTAGAATCGATCAATGGTTTCCTTTGAAAGTGTGGTAAGCTCCCAGTGTCGCCTCTCATTCCAGAAAAGAGCTCAGATTGCCGATATGCATTATTAAGTTTAGCTTGGACTCAGGTGATCGGGCTTTCTTTGAAAGAAAGACAAAGCGGGGCAAAGGAATGAAGAATCAATAGCTGCGTAATGTATATTAAAATTCCGCGGGTCCAGCTCGCACAACGGTACAAGCAACAGTCTGCACTGGTAGGTGTTGTCGATGTCGGAGTCTGGGGGAAGATAAGGACGGCAGATTATCTGGCAGGTCCGCGAGTCGGAGAGGGCCCCGTTATTTCGGCCTCAGGCAACCAGGCTGTGTCAACTGACGTGGTATTCAGTATAGTAGGGGTCCAATCAAGGGAGTTGAAATCTCTGTATTTCTGTATCCACTCTTCCAGTAGGAAATATGACTATCTGACTAATTATCAAAAATACTGCGTGGATAGGATAAACTAAACTTCCGGTATGCCGATCTCATGCTCCGATATACCCCCTCAGCTAGGCCAGTATGGTCTAGCTGCTTCCTACGCTTAGTCGGTATGCTATTTCTCTTCCCTTGCTGATCAGACGACCCCTACTATCAGATAGCTTATATCGGTTATCCTCAATATTTTGAGGAAAGCTTTATGCTTTTGCCTAGTAAGCAACTTTGTGAGTCCGTCTATAGCTATACTAGCTGTCGGTACCTATTTCACCTTAATTCTTCCTTCCCTAACTTCCTATCTAAGCTAGTGCCGATAAATATTAATATATCGCAATTTCGTCTCGAACGCCGTATCCTCGCTAGTTAGAAGACTAATAGTACGCTAATTATCGTAATCGATACTTAGTTAATAGGAGGGGACAAAACCGAGAGTATTAAGAAGTCTACGCTACTATTATAGCTATTTTATAGTCTCTAAGAGACCGAGGAGCTTAGCTTTAGTAGTAGAGGTAGTAACTATAGGCTACTTACTAGCCTTCTAGTCGACTAGCCCGCCGTATACTTAGTAGATATAGCTAGCGGAGCTCTTTCTATCGGGATAATCCCTATATAAAGTATTACTAGCGAATTATACGGAGTCCCTTTCTATCCTTAATTCTACGCTATATTTAATAGCGAGATAGCGGGTAGAATTAAGGTAGGTAATAACTCTATTAGCTACCTAATAGTACTAGGGGCCTAGGTTTATTAAGTATTATACTAAACGAGTAGTCGACTTTATAGTATCTAGTCTTATAATTATAGTAGTATATCTAGTAGATCCTATCTTTTTTTAGTATAATAGAATCTCTTAGGCTATAGCTATACCCTAATATAGGGTTAGCTCTTCGATAGGTATTAGGGTATATACCGCTAGTCTATCTATAAGATTATATTATATAGCGATACTTACTATATAGCTATCTTAATAAAGCTATAGTTTCTTTTATTACTTATCTCTAATAATACGGATATTAAGAAACTATACTACCTCTCTATAATCGGTTAGCTCCTAGTAAGTTTCTAGATCTTATTCTAGCTATATAGCTCTTTCTCGCTCCTCCCTACTATTATAGTAGGTAATTAGAATATTATTAATATAGAAAAAGACTATTAGTCTATTTCCGATAAAGATATAAGGGTCTTCTAGGGCTTATTATAGTCCTAGCTTATAAAATATACTAACTACTTCCTATTACTAAAGTCTAGGTAAGATCTATAGACTATATAGTACGCGGCGGAGTTTCTAGTATTTACTAGGTAGTCTAAACCTATTAGATATCTAGGTATAGATCTCTTTTTCTAGCGTACTATTTAAAAAGGTAGTAATAGTATCCCGCTATCTTAGATCGAGATTAAATACGGTAATAAGGGTAAAAATCATTCTTATAGTCCTTACTACTAGGGTAGTAGCTCTCTTTTCTTCGTACGAAATAGTCTCTAGGTCTCCCCGTACGTATATATAGGCTTTGAATTTAACTAGATAACTATCCTAATCGTATTTATAGGTAAATACCTATATAAGAGGTAGTATTTACTTACCTCTATCCTTTAGTCTCTCTATAATCTTATAGGTTTCCTTTTCTATTAGAGAGTTAATCTCCTTTCTTATTACTACGAGAAAGCCTTCCTAAAATAGATAGTTTATAATATCTTTATAGTGTTTTAGGACTAAGGGGAGATTATCTTAATATTATCTAATTTCGGGTTTCTTAGTATATAGTCCTATAGTGAAAGTATATAGTAGTATAGGAGGGTCTTCCTTTTCGTCTATAGCTTCTATAATTATTATATAGATATAGTCTTTATCTTACCTAGTTTAACGCCTTCGCTTTCTACTAATAATATTACTAGTATTAATATCTCCTATAATTTATCTACTTAGAGCGAGAAGTTCCGCCTATAGTTATCTTTCTAGCTTATTTTCTAGCTTATCTTCTATAGTAGGAATAGCTTTATTATTCTAAGCTTAGTCGCTAACTAGATCCTCTAGATCCCCTAGTATATCTACCCCCTAACTAAGGGTAGTATAGTGATCCTACGTATAGGGTTCTTATAGCGGTATAATAGGGAGCGGAGGAAGGGGTTTATCCGGAAATATATCTAGCGGGGCTCGGGGTTTATAGATCTTAGGTATTTACTATATAATCGTAGTTTTTAGGGAGGGTAGGACTATTTATTAGTCTACCCCCTAAAATAGGGTAGTATCTCACTAACTAACTTTACTAGCTATCTCTCTCTATAGAGAGTTCTACTATATATTCTACTAGTTTTCTTACTAAGATCCTTACTAAGATCCTTAATAATTATAGTACTAAGTTTCTTATAGATTATTAGACTAAGCTTCCTATAGATCTTAATAATCTCTCTCTTCTATTTCGCTAGTATCTTAACTAGCTATCACGCGATTAAGTACCTAGGTAAACTCTTCTATAGTAATTTCCTAAGGTTCTTACTATATTAGTATTAGAATAAGCTAATATCTATTATAATTAGAGATATATTTACGAGTTTTATTAAATACTATATCCCTAATAGGCTTCACTTTCCTATTATATAGAAACTAGATTTTCTAGATATTTAATACTATATAGCTAACTAAGAATCCGATCTTAGCTCGTAGGTTTATTTTATTAGACTAGATCTATTTATCGATCCTATAGTATACTAAACTTCTATATAGTTTAATATTTAATAGGTTAATCCTCGGCGCCTATAGTACGAACTCCTTCCGTACCTCCTCCTATAGTATAACCTAGCGGTTTTCGGTAGTAATATATATCAGCGTACGATTTAGTAACTATACTATAGCGTTAGCGGCCTCTAGCTATAGATCTTTTAGGAGCTTTCCTTTAAGTATAAATATACGTATATAGATAATAATTATACTACCGGATCTTTCGGTATAACTATTTATTTTAGAGTACCCTAGGGGGTTATAATATATAAGGATACTATTAGAAGTAAGGCTATATTCCGTAGGTTTTCTAACTAAGGACTTATTATCGTATTAGAAGGCTTTAATTAATAGATCCTATTAGTTTCTTACTAGTTCTATAAAATAATTAATCGCTAGCTAACACTTAAGCTTTATTTTATAGGTTATTAGCTAATAAAACCTAGGACCTTCTAAGTAAAAATAAGAGATCTAGCGGTACTTATTCTCTATTAGCGGTAACTAAATAAGATTAAAGTATACTCTTCTAAATCGTCCGAAAGTACGTCTAACTACGCGTCTTAATATCTACCTTAGTATACGACCTAGCTAATAAATCTAGTATAATACCTATATTTTAGTAGACTCCTTTTCTTTATCGTTAAAAATAACTCTATCTACTATAGTAGCGAGTTTTATAGCGCTTCGCTAGTTAATATAGGTAAGCTATCGGTACTAGATATCTAATAAGGCTCTTAATTATTAAGGTTTTATAGACTTTCTCTCTATAAAATAGGCTTACTAGGGCTATATAAGTTCTCTAGGTTAATTAAAGATCTAGAGATTAAACTAGTCCTAAAGGTTAACGTAGATAACTAGTCTATTATTAGGGTCTCTAATATAGTTTATACGCTAGTACTATATCCCGCCCTTCTTTTTTAGTATAGAATAGGATATTAGGTTTATATAGAAGCTAGGGGAATAGAGGGTATTACTAAGTATAATCTCTATTTTACCTTTTACTAGATATCTACCTACTAGTCTAACCTTCCCCTTTCCTAGTACCTAGGTAGTGCTATCTTCTATCGTAAGATCCGAAATCTAGGGTATAAAGTCGATAAAAAGATCTCTATTATTATAGATATAGGTACTAGATCCTATATTAAGGATCTATCTATCTTTTAAGATAGGTTCTCTATTTTTAGTAAGTAAGAGAGTATATTTACTAGTCCGAGCTACCCCCCCTACTCTCTAGTATAGGGCTTAAGGGTACTAATATACGGTATAGGGGTAGTAGCGAAGCTTACTTAATTTATAAACTCTTCCTTCTAAGGTTACTAATATTACTAAGTTTACTAAGTTTACTAAATTTACTATACCTTTTCTACCTTCTTTTCTACCTATTTCTTCTAAGTAGGCTCTTTAGCGAGTTTTTACTTAATCTTTTCTAGCTTTCTAGGGTTAATATAGGTCCCTTTAGGGCGGTTTTCCTTATTAAGATACTAATATATTACTATTTTATATAAATAGTAGGGGTTCCTATATAGGTACCTCTTCTTTTTAAATAGGATTACCTCCTTAGTTTAGGACTAGGACTTTACTTCTTAGTATCTCTACTAGGTTAAAAATACCCCTTTTAGGGGTATAGTAGATAATACCTTTTATACCCCTATTTCTTAATTTATTATACGGAACGACTCGAGGAGATTATAGGTTTAGTAGACTTTCTTATCTATAACGATCTCTTAATATCTTCCTTACTACTAAATAGGTAAGACCTCTTTAATAGTATATAGGAAGTCCCTATTTACGTCTCCGTTATTAATACCGAGG